TCCCCGTGTCATAAGGTAACCTAAAAAGGGTTAGGATTCAGGGAATGGCCTGAAATATTGAAAGTAAAGTAACCAAGAACAGTTTAGATTTCTGGATCTAGTCTAGGTGGCATCGCCCAAATACATGACAAGTAATGACAAGCTTTACGCCAAGCCGCCGCAGGCTGATGGCCAACGCGGCCTGCGACAGAGCCAGGGTCCGGGAGCTCAGCGGCGTTTAGTTAAGCATAATAAGCAAGCATGAGGCATGAGTCTCGCACCGGTCGTGGTGGTAAGAAATAGCAGTAGCAGGAGTAGGAGTAACAGCAGCAGCAGTGCAGCAGCAGCTGCCAGGGAGGAGGAGTTGCAGGAGTCGTCGTGGCAGTAGTAGGACTAGTAGCAGAAGTAGGCAGCAGTGTCGGTGGTCGTTGCGCGGAGTAGCTGCAGTCGTCGTCATCGTCGACAGCGCCCTTGTCGCTGTCGTGGTTGGTGCAGCAGCACTAGCAGCAGTAGCAGCGGCAGCTGTATTAGCAGCACTGGCAGTACTTGGAGGTTCAGTGGACTTCAAAACTTGGTGAATGCAGTCATAAGTCATAAGTACCTTGACTGGGTTTCTAACTGCTTAAAATGAAATACATATACATAACCCTAGGTACTATGTCCCATGAAACTCTTCAGTAGACCGTAGAGCCGAACCCCTTAAAGGAACCCTACTATAGAACCCCATAGTGGCCTGCAAAGGAGCCCTTATAACCCAGTTAATAAGTCTCATGATTCAGCACTGAGCGAACTGCAGCTTCCTTGCCTGTGCTGCGGTGTGGGCTACATTGCCCCAAGCTTGCTGGACAGAGAGCCACAATGAGCAGCGATGTCGGGACTTGAACCCAAAGCTCTAAACCCAAAGCCCTGAACCCTAGACCCTAGACCCCTCAACTAGCCTTTATTGTAGCCCCAAATGTCCTCTTAATGAGAAATATCAGAGCCCTTTAGGGGGCACTTATGGGCTCCTGGTGAAGCCTAAAACCCATAGACCCTAAACGCTGAACCCTAAACCCTAAACCGGCCTGAACCCTACAAACCCCAAATGCTGAACGTGTAGCCCCAAGGCCATCAGGCTCCAAGAAACACCATCGGTTGGGGATCACCGCACCGAGCCCTACTATCAACAAGGCTTGTCATCTTAAGGTTTAGGGTTTAGGGCTATTTAAAGGGGATCCTTAAGGGTTCCTTTAAGGTTTTCCATAAGGGTTCTACAGGGGTTTAGGGGTTTGGGCGTTTAGGGGTTCAGGGTTTTGGGTCTAGGGGTTCAGGGGTTTAGGTTTAACAGTTGAGGGTTTAGGGGTTTAGGGCTTCAGCTTCTCCTGACATCCGTGGTAGTCAAAGCCGAAGCTTTCGAGACACTGCACCTTTTGTTACCCCGGCCTCCCGACCGGCCAGAGACGACAAGCATAAAGGTCTTTCTTTGTTTTGGGGCTTTAGCTTACTTTCCCAATAAGCTACAGCAATTTCCGATTCTTACTAAACTATAAGAACCCCAACAGTTTACAAGTTGGATATTGGGGATTCAAGTTAGGGTTAAGGGTCTAGGGTCCGCTGTATCACGGCGCAATCCAAGGGCGAAGAAGAACCACAATGGTATCTAAATTTGTCGTCAGGATCCAAACCCTAACCGAGAATCTTGAAGCGCCAATCCCGGAATACACCCAAGTAAGATAAACCCTGTATATCCAAGGGTAAAAGGAGGGAGGCTTAATAAGAACCCCTAGGTATATACCCTTAATATAGATATTCTATACCCATTAATATAGCCCATTATAGGGCAGGGGTCCCCATTAAGGGTCCCTCCTTTTCCCCTTTGAGTATAGCTAAACGGCCTGAGAGGGATTCCGAGCCACCTTCGCCCCACATCCAAATCCAACCTCCCAGAAAAAACCTCTGTGCAGTTCAAGGCTACAGTTCGGGGTTTTCTCCAAAACCTAATTCAAGGTCGAGGGTTTCTGGTTTTAGAGATTCATGGTTTGCGGGGTGTAATTTTCACAGCTCCGCACAGTGTTGACGTCGCAAGGCCCTGCAGCTTAAGTACTACAGGATTCGGGGCCTAATCCACACACCCTATACCCCTAAAGTCTAAACCTTCTGAGGCTCCTTCCGGCTCAAGATCTATGAGCGGGCCTTCATGGTTTTAGTTTGGGTCTTTTGAAGGTTCCTGGTTGGTTGAATTGAAGGCTTAAACAGCAGCGTTCGTTGGGTTGTAGATGGTTATAGTTGTAGATGCCATTAGCTTGCAACCTACGTACTAAGTCCCATTATCATTCAGGTATAGGGAACGCTAAGACGCTCAAAACTAAATGCATATCTCAGCTGTATCTGGGCATCCGTACCTGTTTGAATACCTCGGGACTTAAGATGGATGTAGCTGCCCGATAACGAAAACCTCATCCTCAAGGACCTTAGTATAAGTTTGCCCTGGCGGAGGGGTCAGGGTCTTTCAAAATCAGAGGTATAATAACAAGACGCGATGGTCAACTCGCGACAACCCCAGCACAATAGTGCCAGAGGAGTGTTTCGATGTTTCGGGTACTTACGGCACATAGAAAGGCAAAACCAAACATTTTGAAACGTGACATGTCGTCGTCGAACCGAACTCACTCGGCCGAATTTTGCATCGCCAGGAACGCATGCGTCAGTTGGTTGCGAAGCCGCATTGACTCGCGGGTAATGTATCTGAACCACTTAGATGTAGGTGTGTGTATGTATATATATATATATGTACATATGGTGTATATATATATATATATATATATATAGATGTACTGTGATTATTGGCAGCCCTTCCTTTCGTGAACCCCCGCTCAGCCACCCTAAAAGCGCCGACTTTTAGGGCTCGGTCTGATAGAGTTTTACTTTATCGAACTCCATGGGGTGGGTTTAAGGCTCCTTTAAAGGGGACCCTTAAGGCTTCCTTTAGGGGTTCTAAAGGGTTTAGGGTTTAGGGCTTTGGGGTTTAGGGTTTGGGGGTACCTACCTCAAACGTCCAAACTCTGTTTTCTTGTATGTTCTTAGTATAAGCCCCAATACAGATTTTATAGGGACCCTACAACGAAGGTTCGGCTAGTCTAAGCTATGTAGTATACACTGCGATATCAAAGGACTGGATGTATGGATATGGGGTTTAGTGCCGCCGGCCCCGTCTTCCTCAATTTATAGTAGGACCCCTGATATGACACAAGGTATATTCCCCATTTTCCCTGATAGAAAACTTATATTTTCAGGGACCCTATAAGGAGCCCTATAAGGACTAAACCCTTAAGGAACCATATGAGGAGCTCTTAAGCCTTAAACCTCCAGACTGATCCCTTCAAGGAACCCCATAAGGAGCCCTTAAACCCTAAACCTTTGGTACGGCCCCCACTCAGTAATAGTTGAATAATACTCATAATATAAATATATGTTAGGACCTTAATAGCAGCCCTATCATAGACTCTTACTGTATGGGTGCATTTCCTAACCTAAACCCATAGAGCTCCCCTTAAGGAGCCCTTAGGTGGGAAATTTGGGGGTCTCTGGGCCCTCTCCGAATCTCAGCGCCGAATCCTTCAGAACCCCTGACTTCACACGAATATGAGGGTTGGCTTAAATCGTTTAGGGTTTAGACTTTTGTTAAGTGCATCGGGCTTCTGATGAGGTTTAGGGTTCAGGGCTTAAGTAGTTTAGGGTTCCTCTTTCATCATAGGGACCCTTACGTGAGTAGGGAGGAGGGGGGTTGGGGGTAGATACTTCCTTAAACAGGCCGTATTTGGTCCTTTTTATGGGCATGAAGGCCCCTATCCCCCGTTTCCCTACCAATCCAAGGGTCCCTATGATTCAGTACGGTTGATGATGCAAGTCCTGCATTGCCCATAAAATGCGATAGACCATGATTCTCATCGGGTAGGGATCTTGAGGTAATGCAGGATTTATATCATCAACAGTAGGTTGTGATTCTTAAGTGTGTATACATCTTTCTTACTTCTCTAAGGGTAGATGGGTCGGGCCTTCATTCGAACAGGTTTGAAGTTTGAAGGGCATTCATGTTAAAGTATGTTGTAATAAAACCGTTCTCGGACTACAGGGGGATGCGTTGGATGCATACTACTGTTGATGGACAAAATCCTGCATCACCTTAAGGACCCTAAACTATGGGAATTATGGGATATTCCTTAGTATGGGTAATGCAGGATGTATATCATCAACCGTAGTACTCAGAGCTCTATCTCCTGAACCACGAACCACTTCAAAGCCCCGACCCCGAACCTGAACTCCAAAACCTAAACCCTAACTTACTACCCCAATAAGCCACATAAATCAAAGGTTAAACTTTCCGATTCCTACTAAACTTTAAGAACCCAAAGAGTTTAAAGGTCAGGCATTGAGGATCTAAGCTAAACCCTAAGCCTCGAAACCCGAAACCCTGAAAACTGAAAGGGCCCTCAGCCTCAAAGCTCCACGGTATTTCGTCTCACTTCAGTCTACCCACAGATATCCCTTAATGAAGGAATATTCTGAAATCATACTAAGGGATCCTAGCATAATTTAAGGAATATTCCTTAATTAAAGGCTCTGGGAGTCTCTGGGTATTTGGTCCTCCTCGAGGCTTCTGATGAGCGCTTACTTGAGGCTTTGGGGTTTAGTTGAGGGGTTCTACAACGGTCCTAGATATGCCTACCATAGGCATTAGGGTTTAGGGTGTATCTGTGAATCCGAAAACCTTACTGTCTTGATGTTTAGGTTATCTGCCGGCGGTGTCATGACCTATTTTCTTGCGGGGTCAGTGGCTGCAGGTAACTAAACGTTAAACCGCAGATCACTATACCGACCATAAACCCTAAACTTAACCCTACACGCAAAAGGTTTAAAGGTTGGGAATTGGAGACCTATACTGAGATTAGAACCCTAGCAAGAATTACAATTTTAGCTGTTTCTTAGGGACTATCATAACCAAAAGTCAATTACTATTTCTAAGTACCCCTAAGACTAAGCCTCTAATCGCCTCGCTTACGATCGGCCCCGTCATCCTTCAGACTGTCTGCCACCTGCACTGTGTTCTTCTGAGGGGTATTAGGGATATTAGGGTTTAGGATATTGAATTGTCTATTATAGGGTTTAGGGTCTAGGAGTTTGGGGGAGATTACGAGGGTTTAGGGTTTAAGAGTTAGGAGGAGATTATTAGGGTTTAAGGTTTAGGATATCGAGAGTTGAAATTTTAGGGTTTAGGGTTTGGGAGGTAACCATGCGGCCCTAGCCCCAAAACCTCAAAACACGGAACCCTAAACCTTACATCTCAAATTTCCCTAAACCCTAAACCCTTAACCTCAATCAGAAGCCCCTTACATCCTACACCAAGCCCGAAGGCTTACCTCGCACGAATCCCAGGGACCCCAATATCCCTGATAATTAAAGAAAAGTCCTGATTTCTTCGTAGTAGGATCCCGAATATGACTTGAAGTATATTCCTTAATTAAGGCATACCTTAACCCCACGTAACCTACCTTTTCAAGGACTTATATAAAGAAATCATATTAGGGAACCCTATTCAAGGTAGGTTCCTTAGGGTCCAGGTATTGGAACCCTAACCCTAAACCCTAAACCGAGTCTCCGGGAGCGGGAAGTGGCCGTCCTGAAACCTCCAGGGTTTATCAGGGGCCTCATAAAGGCGCCCTTTTGGATCCCTTATGTAGGGAGCCCCAAAAAGCACATAAGCATAAGCATTTGTTAGGGATATCTCTACCTGAATGGGCTTCATTATAGGGGGGGTTATATGGGATATCCCTATCCTAATTTTTGCTTATGTGCGTTTTGGATCCCTTATGGCGCCTTCCCAGAGAGCCCTATATACCTCTTAATTACGGAAAAGACCTTAAACGGGTTCCTGAAAGGAATTTATAAAGGGTTCTATAAGGGGATTAAGGAAAATCTCTTATGTTATAGTAGGATCCCTTATATGACTTGAGGAATAGTCCTTAGTTAACGGATATTGGAGTCTCTGGGATCTTCATCTACACGATAAAGGCCTAGTTTTGGGTGTAGGGATTTGAAGCTTAGGGTACCAGGAATTACTTCCACTCAAAGCCTAGACCCTGCAGACATCCAGATGCCCTGAAGGTCCCACCCTAAACCCTAAACCCTAAACCCTTAAACCCTAAACCCTAACAATTCGACCCCTACACCTTGGGCCTTCATGGGGTCCCTTTATAGGTACTTTAAGGCCTATGTATATACTATTATTGGTACCATGGACCCGTAGACCCTAAGCCCTATAGAACCCTTTAAAGGACCCCTTTAAGGAACCCTTTAAAGGAACCCTGTTATGGGTACCATGGAGCCGTAGCGATAGAAAATGTCCAGCTTCGGGACTGCGTCAACACGTTCATTCGTAAGATTCGTAAGGTCCGACGTCAGGACCGGGGCACCGAAACTAGAGCGTAGAACTTGAGGATAGGAGACAGGCTGTTTAATAAATGAATACAATGGGATTCTGAGTATTTTGCAGTGTAGCAAACTTGCATAGGAACCATGGGCTACAAGGGAAAAGCAGGCGAGTAACCAGCATTCAACTTCAGACCCCTATACGACACTACGCGGCTGGCCTTCACCGCCATCTCCATGTAGGCCGTGACCCAGTTGTTGACAGTTGAACGATACAGCTCCTCGTCTTCTGCTTCGAGCTGCCTACATAGTATACACTTTGGCCCCAAAGTATCCCGGAACCCTAAAGCCTACACCTACTCTAACGCACTGTGCGGGCTTCGGGTCTGTTTAGAAGGGGCCGTATAGATCGGGTAATAGGGTTCAGGGTACATGGGCTAAGGGAGACGACTCCAAATTCGGAGACGGTGGTCACGTTTCGACTCACGGTTCAAAGTATACACGCACACACACACACTCTCACACAAATGCACACACACACACACGTGCACACACACAGACACGTGCACACACACACACACACAAACACAAACACAAACACAAACAAAAACACAAATGCAAACACAAACACAAACATAAACACACACAGACACAGACACACACACACACACCCACACACGCACACACACACACACAGACACACGGGGGATGCAGCAGCTGTTGGAGAATACTGGAAGTGGGCTCATCGCTTAGAGTCTTAGAGCTTCGGGCTCATAGGGGGCTCATAGGGCTTAGCGTCTACTTGGAGCTTTGGGTACATGCTCACAGATTGAGGCTTATGATGCTTACTTTAAACGACTATTACCTTCATGCTGGTAGGTTCGCATCATAAACCCTCTTTTCAAGACCCTACAAAACATTAAGTTTGGTAGTTGAAGGTAGTTTTTAGAAATATATGTTTCAGGATTTGGGGCTGTAGGGCTCAGGGTTTTGGATTTCAGCGACAACTGCTAAGGACTTATCTTGGCCGACTTCTGAACCCCTCCTAAAAGTTAAACTTTTAGCCTCCTTATTATAGTTCATATAGAAGCCCAAAAAGTTAAAGTCTAAAGAGCCAACCAGAAGAACGCCAAGTTATATAGGCCATGGGGTTTCGGCCTCGAAAGGCGCACTTTCCGTGAAGTACCCCACTCGGAGGGTCGGGGGACTTAGTAACTGGTTATTTTGGGGACTTATAAGTACCATAACCCCAATGAGGGTCCCTTTTTGGGTACTTATAAGTCTACTTACTACCTACTTACTAAGTCCCCCGACCCTCCAAGCAAGTGATATCAAACAGATTAGAAGAGGATTGCTTCGGGGCGGAGGGAGTGCTTAAAGCCCGAACCTGTGGGGAGGACGCAAAGAGGCCTATAACCCCGAAGCATAAAAGCAGGTATAACAGTATAACAAACTGAAACAAGGCTAGGATACCCAGTAACCTAAGAATAAAAAGGCCTCTGTTTTTGGTATTGGGTAACTTTATAAGGAACCTAGGACTACAAAATTGGAATAAGGGTACTACTGGGCATCCTAGAAGGCTATTCAGATCTACGTTCTCGGGACACTCCGTGTGCACTTGTCCTTTTTGGGCACGCGGCTCTTGGGGGGCTGTTAGACAAGGGTCTGCGTGTGGGCGGCAACTAGCACACAGATCCTATACTCTCTATGAGCTACATGTTCATCCTTCCCGCGTGATAAGGATTCTAGATGCAGTAAACCCTAAACCCTAAACCCTAAACCCCTAAACCCCTAAACCCTAAACCCTAAACCCCTAAACCCTAAACCCTAAACCCCAAGTGAGAGTCTGTTGCGACCCTACGCACCATGAATGATGCTATCAGCGATGTGCGATACAACATCTATCTTATGGTTAAGCTTGCTGCTTGGGAACCTTCCACCCTGCAGCTAAAACCACAAGCCAGCCAGGAAGCCCCATTTAGACCCGAAGTCTTTAACCAAAAAACTGCAGACGGGGCCCAGACACCCAACGGTTCCCGAGACATGCATTTTGGGGCTGCTTTTGAAACCAATCTGCACGAAAACCACGCTATCTAAAATCATCTGATCTTTTGGATGTTCTGGAAAAGCACGGTATAATAGCGCGCAGCTCCAAAACTGAGCTTTGTCGACATGGGGTGGCTGCTAATTGCTGCAAAGACACCTGTTGGGGGCTCAGCCAGTGCCTACTCTTCCTGTTCGTTTTCTTCCTCCAGTTCCTCCTCCTCCTCCTCATCATCTTCCTCTCCCCCCCCAGGTGACGACAGAACCATCGTCCAAAACTGCGGCAAAAGACTCTCCAAAGGCTTGGATCTGCTGCACACCCTTCAGCTGATCTTGCACAGCACTACTATCACCACCGTTGTCAGCCCAACCCCAGGTCACGACTGATCCGTCGCTAAGAATGGCAGCAAAAGCGAAGGCACCGGCTTGGATTTGGTGCACATTCTTCAGCTGAGCCTGCACAGCACTACTGTCACCACCATTGGCAGCAGCACCCCAGGTCACGACGGATCCATCGTCAAGAATGGCTGCAAAAGCGCGGTAGGAGGCTTGGATGTGCTGCGCATTCTTCAGCTGAGCCTGCACAGCACTGCTGTCACCACCGCAGTCTGCATCACCCCAGGTCACGACGGATCCATCCCCAAGAATGGCAGCGAAAGCGCCGTTTGTGGCTTGGATCTGCTTGACGTTCCTCAGCTGATCCTGCACAGCACTACTGTCACCACCCCAGTTGGCATGGCCCCAGGTCACGACAGAGCCATCACCGAGAATAGCAGCAAAAGCCAACGTAGCGGCTTGGATATGCAACACGTTCGTCAGCTGCGCCTGCACAGCGTTACTGTCGCCACCATGGTCAGCACGACCCCACGTGACGACCGATCCATCGTCAAGAATGGCAGCAAAAGCACTGCCCGTGGCTTGGATCTGCTGCACATTCTTCAGCTGATCCTGCACAGCACTGCTGTCACCACCTTCATCAGAACAACCCCAAGTTACGACTGATCCGTCGCCAAGAATGGCAGCAAAGGCTTTGCTGTTGGCCTGGATCTGCTGCACATTCTTCAGCTTATCTTGCACAGCACTACTGTCACCACCGCCGAAAGTATCACCCCAGGTCACGACGGATCCGTCGCTAAGTACAGCAGCAAAAGCGGCGTCAGAGGCTTGGATGAGCTGCACATGCTGCAACTTGTCCTGCACAGAGCTACTGTCACTGCCGAAGCCAGCATGGCCCCAGGTCACCACAGATCCGTCGTCAAGAATGACAGCAAAGGCGTTGTTGGTGGCCTGGATCTGCTGCGCATTCTTCAGCTGGTCCTGCACAGCACTATTGTCACCACCAAAGAAAGGCAGACCCCGTGTGACGAATGACCCATCGCCAAGAGCGGCCGCAAAAGCGCTGTGAGTAGCTTGAATTTGAGCTCTACCTATGTGTAAAACCAGTGCGTCACCATCCTGCAGCCGGGCGCGCTTGATCGGTGCACATAAATCCAGAACGCCTTCAGATGAGTGCACCAGCCGCCCGCTGCCGACTCCGAGTGCGGTCTCTGCTCGACGCTTCAACGTTCCAACTGATTCATCCAAGCTGGCTTGCAGAGTAGCTGCCCTGCCACTGAGCAGTCCAACTTGCACAGTAATTGACATACTATGGCATGTCGAAACGGCCTATCGATTTTATACATAAGCTGTTGAAATGATGCCGAACTCTACATGCTAAGCACATAACTGCGTGAACTTTCCCCAACAAATCCGAACCATAAACCTTTGAATCTTGGTACTTTATACGTATAAGGCTTAGACGGGTGACGGGACAGTCTTCCACATTTCTCCTACGGGCGAGAACTCGAAAATTAGTGGTACCGAGCAGCAGAATCACCAGTCGGGCAGAGACTTCAATGACCCAGGCTTATGATTACGGTATAAGCCCGCCCTGAAACTTACTTGGGGTTTAGGGCTTGCGGTTTACCGTAAATACCCTAAACCCTGATGCCCTGGACCCTCAAAACTCTAAACCCAAAACCCTAAGGCCCTGGTCCCTCAACCCTAAACTGTGAACCCCTACCTGCCAGGGCCAGGATCCCCAATGGCCCTTTAATGAAGCCCTTATGGTCCTTAATAGTGGGTATTTGGGGTATATTAGAGGGAAGTTGGGGGGTCTAGGTCTATCCGCAACCCCTGCAAAGTCGTCGGTTATGACCCCTTTAACCCCTAAAACGGTAGGCTTTTGCATCTCCCGGTAAATCCTGGGGTCTCCTCAGTCAACTGCTCCAGTGGATACGGAAGAGTTCTGAAGGAGTGCTGGAAGCCATTAGCCCTAAGGGTCCGTATAGGTTTAGAGTTTAGGGTTGGAGGTATAAGTTTCGCTGTAGGCTTTCTAGGAAACCTCCTTAAGCTTGTCTGACTGGGTATTTTGTGTATTAAGGCATTAAGGAATTATTTTTTGTGTATTTTGTGTATTTGGGTATGAGGAATCAACACTTTTGTCCATTCCAGCGGCTGATCGTTACTGGGACTTAGTAAGTACAGTTATAAGTACCCTAATTGGGATTATGAGTACATATAAGTGTAGTTGCCTTGATTATAACCCTAGTTACTAAGCCCCATGAACCTCTAAGATGAGCACTGGGAAGCCTTTCTAAAACTCCCCAAACACCGCGTTGAGTCCTGAAGGAATGCACATCAAGATAATTAAGGCCCCACTCCTAAAGCCTCATTTCAAACCCCTAAAACCCTAAACATCCCCAATCATCCCTAAAACCTAAAACTTAAAACCCAAACTCTAAACCCTAAACATCCCCAAACCTTAAACCCCAAACTCTAAAACCTAAACATCCCTAAACCCTGAACCTTAAACCCCAAACTCTGAACCCTAAACATTCCTAGGCCCCTCGGTAGGATCCCGCCGACAGCTTAGAAAAGGGACCCGAGGCTTCGGTGTTGTTAGTCCATGGCACCTGGACTTAATGGGATGTTAGGGTTTTGGGGCTCAGGGGCTTAGGCGTTTAGGCGTTTAGGGGTTTAGGGGTTTAGGCGTTTAGGGGTTTTCGGGGTTTGCGGTTTAGGGGTTTGGGTTTGGGGTTTAGGGGTTTGGGTTTAGGGTTTAGGGGTTAGGGTTTAGGGTTTAGAGGTTTAGGGTTTAGGGGTTTAGGTTTCGGGCCAGAAGCCCTACACGCTGTCCTCATTGGACGGATTGTACATTCCGAAGCAATCTCCTCAGCGGCGATGCACATGCCATAATCACAGTTTGGAGACGTGAAATAGACTAACCTTTTGGAAGATGCTAATTATGCTATACCGTCTACACAAGAACCGCATTGCGAACACCTGAGGAAAAAGCTTACATAAAGGATCATTGGAATAGTCTGCTGCATTCATCTTGGGGCACTCTCAGGAGATATTATCACTACATATTCAGGCTCCTACAGCGATGCCTGCACGCTTACATGTAGGTCTCGGTCTGAACAGTTGAAAGAGGTGTTTGAGTGGTTTCGAGGGCTTTGAGGGTATAGTATAGTCTGGGTTTTTGGCTAGTTTTCACTACCTCAATAGGGATCTATAGTAAATACAACTGTTTCCATAATATTGTGGTCACCTAAGTTGAATCCCTTGACAAGAACCCAGTAACAAAAACATTTTAAGGAGCCCTCGGCAATAATATTGGTAGTTGTCCAGGCTTCTATTCCTAAACCCTAAACCTTAAGCCGCTTCTATCTTGCCAAAATGCTTTCGGATCTGTCTGTGAGGTTCGCCGACAGCTGGACGAAGTCGGAAGGATGTGCCTGTGCCAGGGCACTTTTTAGAAACGGATTTCCGTGCATTTTTAATTCCTGATAGAACCCTGATTTATAGATCCCTTTAAGGAACCCTTTAAAGGTATGTTCCTGAACTCTCTTTAAAACCCTTCTAGATCCCTTTAAGGAACCCTTTCAAGGTATATTCCTGAATTCCCTTTTAGCACTGTTATAGATCCCTTCAAGGCGCCCTTTTTAAGGTATATTCAGTATATTCCTTCATTCGGGGGTATTGGAGTTTCTGGGAAGGCACTATAAAGGATCTATAAGGGATCTATGAAGGTTTCATGGGTTCTACAGGGGCTCTAAACTGGCTCAAGACGGATTCTAGAAGGAGTCTACCAAGATTCTTTCAGGGCTCGAAATGGGGTCTATAAGGGGTCCATTGAAGCTCTAGAGCAACCCTATTCGGGGGCCTCAAAAGGTAGGATGAAGGTAGGTGGGATATTCCCAAATAAAAGTCCTTATCCAAGGGATCCTTAATCCCACCTACCATCATCCCACCTTGGGAGGCCTCCGATCTATAAGGGTTCTATGTAAGGGCTCTCCGAGGATGCCGTACAGCGGTCGACAAGGGTTAAGGGCCAAGGGCTCTTTAAAGGGATCTGTAGGGTTCCTTAAAGTGATCTATAGGGTCTAGGGTTTAGGTCTACAAGTGCTCTATAAACCCAAAAACTCCAATATCCCGGAATACCGTAAATCATATCAGAGATGGTCGGATCCTACTAGAATTTAAAGTATATTCCCCAACTAAGGGATATTGGAGCCCCCTAAACCCTATACCCTATAGATCATTTACAAGAACCCTTAAATATCCCTTATAGGAACCCCTATAGATCTCTTGAAGGGAAGTCTGTGGGAACGCACTATACGGAATCTACAAGGACTCTGCTGAGCGATCTCCTCATATCCCTTGATTAAGGAGCATACCACCAATTTGGGAGGGTTCTGCGAGGGTTGTTCGGGGGCTTAGGCACCACCCAAAAATGTCGTCCCTTAAAAAAGGAAAGATCCCTGAAACTATCAAGGGCTTCAAATTCTGATTTGAAGTATCCCTGGCGATCCCAGAATCTACCGCTCCAAGAGTTATTCTACCTTCTACCCAGACCCCCGGGATGCTCCCCAAAAAGTAGGGTTTAGGGTTTAGGGGTTTAGGGTTTAGGGGCTTAGGGTTTAGGGGGAGGATCCAAAAGGTAGATCCCTTAATGTGACTTCCTATAAGGTACCCTTAGTACTATAGGGCCCCAAATTAGGGGATCTACTTTCTAGATCCTCCCGGAGGTCTAGGTAATTGAGAGGTCATGGCCTACTGTTTTGTACGGTTTGGGCTCACAGGTAAAGTTAGTATCTTTAATTCGACGACACTGTTCATTTGCCCACTGCAGCCACCTGAAGCCCCTCCTCATCAGATAGGTTTAGGAATTTTTGGGTTTAGGGTTTGGGTCACTTACTACCCCAATAGGAGCCACAGATATAAAAGGTTAAACTTTCCGATTCCTACTAAACTATAAGAGCCCCCAAAAAATGAAGGTTAGGTATTGGGGATCTAAGGACATATGCAATCGGTCATGCGGACTGTCACGAAGGCGTTCGGATTTAGGGTAGAGGCCTTTGGAACAGTGGTTCCTTTGAAGGTTCCATGTTGGTTTCTATATGGGCTTAGTATCGGGGTGTTGTCGACAAATCAAATTAGGGACTATGAGAAGGTCGAGAAGGTACGACTACTAAAACACCATTCTATGCAGGAGCAAGGTTCGTGGTGAATCAGAGGGGTCTCAAAGATCGACCATCCATGTGCATATGCATGTATGTATGTATGTATGTAAGTATGTATGTATGCACGTATGTATGGATATATGTATGTATGCTCTGTGGTATTTACATATACACATATTTCTGCACGTATAATATGCATTCATATGGTATACAGCATGTCAGCTCAACTTACCTGGCCCTGGGCCCTATGAGATCGAAGCCCTGTACTTAGAACGCCCTCAAGCCTTTAGCGAAACACAGAAACCCAAAAATCACCTTCAAGAAACGCTGTAAACCCAAGAAACAACACAAACCTATATAACCGCGCTCCGACCGAGACCTGGAAGACATTCTTCGTGCGCGGGGAGGCCAGGTGGTGGCCAGCCTGCCACCCAGAAATCGTAGGTAACAGGTTCCTCCTTTTAAGGGTATTTTAGGGTTCTGTAATAGGGGTTTCCTTACTGGGTTTAGGGTGCAGGGTCTACTGAAAGGATATCATAGGGTTTTTGGGCTCCTGAAAGGGTTCAGTAAAAGGTTCCTTGAAGGGCCCTTTATGGTAGAAGTAGAACTAGGGTCCCAGGGCTCGTTAAAAGCTTCCTTGAAGGGTTTAGGACCTTAATGGTGAAAGTAGTACTAGGGTCGCAGGGTTCGTTAAAAGCTTCCCTGAAGGTCTTAGGACCTTAATCCTACTTGTCGGGTATCATGGGGAACTAAAGGGTAACCTTTTTGATTATATAGGGATTATACTACCCCAAGAAGGTTAAAGGTTACCTGCTCTGCTACTAGGTAATGGTGAAAGTAGTGGCAGGGTCCCACAAATCCGAAGGTTCTCTGGTTCCGCAAAAAGGCGCCTGGAAGGGCCTTTTTAAGGGCTTAGGGTTTAGTACTTCAAGGCTCATGGGACTTAGTAACTAGGGCTATAAACAAGGCAGTTATGCACATATGCTTAGCTATAACCCCAGTTATACTGCTAAGTGCCATGATCAGTTGAGGGTTTTTCGGCTTCAGGTTCCTTCAAAAGCTCCTTAAGTTAGGGGTTTGGGGTTGAGGGTTTCGGGGTAGGGTAGGGATCGGCATCATAGTAGCAGGGAGTCTCACTATGGGAGGATTGCCAGGGCTCCCTAGCATGATCGCAGGGTTCATGCCAAACATAGAAGCCCGGATTCGGTTGATGATATAAATCCTGCATTACCTTAAGGACCCTAAACTATCGGAATTATGGTATATTCCTTACTATGGATAATGCAGGATTTCCATCATCAACCGCTTGCTCCAGCAAAGAGCTCCGCCTGAAACACTTACGCAGGACCAGCTACAACGGCAAACCCTACAACCCTAAACCCTAAAACCCTAAAACCCTAAACCCTAAACCCTAAACCCTAAAACCCTAAACCCTAAACCCTAAAACCCTAAAAACCCTAAACCCTAAACCCTAAAACCCTAAACCCTAAAACCCTAAAAACCCTAACCCCGCTACACCTTGATCACACGCAACCCCATGTCTGAAAGGTATTGCTCGGATTTCATACCCAGGCACAGACTGCCTAAAAGAAATCGGGACTCTATAAGGGTTCCTTAAAGGGATCTATAGGGGTTCCTTAAAAGGGATCTATAAGGGTTCCTATATGGAATCTTTAAGGTTTAGGGAAACCTCAGCATGAGAGTTTCCGAAAATTACGGGAACCTCATTTTGGGGTCCTTGTAATAAGGATCCTACTATTCAGGGAACTATATTGGGGACCATATACCGCGCAAGAGCATCGGCTGAGGGTGCAGGGTTTATGGCCGCACCTTTATATCGCCATCCGGCGACAACAAACAGGCTGAAATCCAACCCTATAATATAAATCTTACAAGCCCGAAGACCCAAAGCCTGAGCCCTAGACCCCGGCCCTACCTAAATGCCCTGAACCCTAAAACCCTAAAACCCTGAACCCTTAAACCTCCAAAAAACCTGAACTCTCAACCCCTAAACCCTCAACCCTATACATCCCTGTAAAGGAACCCCTACAGATCCCTTGAAAGGGGGACCTCTAAACCCTCAACCTTCGGCCCTAACCTTAAAGCGCTGTTGGAACTTCTGGGGCGTCCCTGCCCCTTAGAAGTATGGGCCCTCTGCCCTTATACCATACCTGTGGATCCAAACCCCACAAAATAGTATGTTCAAGTCCCTTAAATAGAGGGTCGAACCCTTAAAACGGTAGGTTTTTGGATCCCCAGGTAAAACCTTACATGGTATATGAACCTTAAAACCTTTGAAGGTTCATTTCGTCCCCACTTGGAGGTTCATGGGGTTATCAAAGAGGTAACTATACTTATGATTACTTGTAACCCCAGTGAAGGTGCTCATAACTGTACTTGCTAAGCCCCCTGAACCTCCAAGTAGACCCTAAAGCCCAAACCCTTTCGATCCCTTTAAGGAACCCTAGAGATCCCTTTAAGGAACCCTATAGGGTTCGATCCCTTAAGGAACCCGATAGATCCCTTTAAAGAGCCTTTAAAAGATCCTCTAAGTAAGGTGCCTGCAGCAGCGCCAAGGCGTGGTCAGAGTGTTGGTGCCAGCGCTCCTAGGAGCAACCCAGAGACTTAATGCCTACTTGGAAGGTCGGGGGACTTAGTAACTGGTTATTTGGGGGGACTTATAAGTCCCATAACCCCAATCACGGTCCCTTTTAGGGTACATATAAGTCTACTTACTACCTACTTACTAAGTCCCCCGACCCTCCAAGTAAGGGCTCCATTAAAGGGATCTATAGGGATCTGTAGGGTTCCCTTAAAGGGATCTAGAGGATCTATCGGGTTCCTCTAAAGGGATCTATGAGGGCTCCTTCAAGGGCTCTTTTAAGGGATCTATAGGGTTCCTTTACAGGGATCTATGAAGGCTCCTTTCAGGGCTCCTTTCAGGGCTCGCTTAAGGGATCTAGAGGGTCTAGGGTTTCGGGGGCTCCAGCATCCCTTAAACTAAGGAATATTCCTCCTATTGTACTAGGAACCCTAATATGAAAAAAAGAATCTTACTACCCCAATAAGCCACAGATACAAAAGGTTAAACTTTCCGATTCCTACTAAACAATAAGAACCCAAAAAGTTTAAAAGGATAGGTATTGAAGGTCTATTAGACCCAGCTAAAACCTCAGAGGTTCCGCGGGGAGCGTTTCGGAGGTCGGACAGTCCCACCCACCCCCAAAAAAGTCTCCTGATCTAAGGCTAAGGAATATTCCTTAACTAAGGTGTATTGGAATCTCGGGGGCCTCACGGATCGCTTTAAATTTTGAGTATTTCGTTCCTAGGGTTCCTTTAGAAGGGGTCTATAGGGGTTACTATAACGGATCCAGAAGGGTACTAGAATACCAGGACCTTATTTATTAGAATAGGGGTTTGGGGAGGTCGAATTCTTCATTGGGTGCATCTGGAGTCCCTAAACCTCGAAGTGCTCAAGAAACATGAAAGGAACAGGAAGCTATGGAGGAACCCCTGAAGCAGCCCGTTCGGAGCAAGGACCCAGCTCTCTTTCGCAGGAAGAGAGTGAAATCATCCGGGCAAAAAACTGGGCCCGAAGCCCCCCCTGAACCCTAAACCCTAAAAACGCCCTAAACCCTAAACCAACCCTAAACCCTCGACCCTAAACCGGCCCCACAAGGTTGACCCAGAACTTCTTACTTGATCGTCGCGATCAAATACTTCCAGTCGTTCGTGGGCTTTACTAACGTCCGGCTGAAAAGCCCTAAGGGTCCATGTACCCGAATAGTATATACTTCGGCCTTACAGTAGTCCCTATACACGTACTTTGGGGGCCAAAATATATTCTATTTGGGCACATGACCCTTACTTGGAGGATCATGGGACTTAGTAAGTAAGGTTATAAGTACCTTAATTGGTGTTATTCGCAATTGAAATTATGGTTACCTTATTTGTAACCCCAATTCCTAAGTCCCAGGATCCTTTAAGTAGGGTGTCAGTGATTTAATTGCTTCAGGATGGAAGAGTGTTGGGCTTCACCTATACAGGTGCTTTCCTTGGGCTCCGATTACCTACCGGTTTAAGGGCTCTACCTTCTAATTAAGGGGTCATAACCTACTATTTTGCCCTGAGGCTCAAAAATAGCCCAAAATCCTTATAGAGTATGGCTTTGGGCCCAAAAGCCTTAGTATATGAGTCCTTAGAGCGGTAGGGTTGTAGGGTTTGGGGATACAGGTTGGGGCCAAAGTAGATACTCTACGGGTCCCTTAGGGAAGGATCACAGAAAAGCCTGAACCTTGGACCCTGAACAGCTCTAAACCCAAAACCAATAACCTCTAAGGGAACCCCTATAACTGTATAGGACTCTACAGTACCCTTAAAAGGAACCCTAAACCCTAGTTACTAAGTCCCACGAACCTTTAAGTCAACATGCAAGCAGGCGTCTCGAAGGGACTCCATCCGCTCGGCGGCAACGAAGATCTCGAAAGCGAAGGAGAACGGGGTCTTAAGCCTCGCCAAGCCGGAGACTGACAGAGTCCCCTAATGAAGGGGGTTTAGGGTTTAGGGTGTAGGGCTTAGGGAGTTTAGGGTGTGGATTTACGGGTTTAGGGTGTAGGGTTTAGGGTCTTAAGCCTTGCCAAGCCGGAGACTGACCAAAGGCCCCTGATTAAGGAATATTGAGTAGTACCTCGAATCCCACCCTAAACCCCGAAACCCTAAACCCTAAAACCCTAAACCCTAAACTCCTAAACCCTGAACCCTCGACAGTGCCTTCAGGGTTTAGGGGTTTTGGGGAGTACCTCGAATCACACCCTAAACCCTAAACAGTGCCTTGTTGAATAGCCTGCCTGTCGGGTATCATGGGGAACTAAAGGTTAAACACTTTTTGGGTATATAGGGACTATACTGCCCAAAAAAGGTTAAAGGTTACCTACTCTACTACTAGGGTAGGTTTCGGAGTCTCTGGGAACACATGACGTCGCACACACTTGGGGTCTGAGTCTTTTAGCTTATATAGAGTTCCTTTAAAGGGATCTATAAGAGTTCCTATAAGGGATCTTTAGGGTTCAGGATCCAGGGTTTAGGATTTAGGGTTTAGGGGTTTAGGGTTGAGGGTTTGCGGTCTAGGCCGGATTGGGCAACTCGGGCGAAAGCTGGCCAAGACGTTCTTCTTGAAGTTAGTTTTGCTTCGAGGTTTCTGTAGGGCGTCCAAACTCTGCATGGTGTTTACGTTTTGAACTCCTTTGTGAAGCGTGCATCGTTGAGGTCTGTTATAGATTTGCCAATGCGTTAGGGTTTGAGATTCTGGACTCGAGCTTGCTGCGTAGTTTTATTCCTGCGTGGGCCGTTTGACACGGCCGCTGAGATCATATTATCCTAAGGGTCCATGTGCCCATCCAATACAAAAACTAGTTAAATTGACCCCCTACTTTAAGGCCAACGTATATACCGTTTGGGCACATGGGCCCGTAGGGTAAGTAAAGTCTAAGCCGATAGCACAGTTACCCCGAAGCGCCTCCTTACTATGTAAGCCCCTTGGCCTGCTGAGGGACCTAGGGTTCTTTTCCCTTAGGCTCCATGTACCTTTATAGTAGCTACTTGGGCCTCAAAGGGTTCCCTATACAGGTACTTTAAGGCCTAAGTATCTACTATGTGGGCTCTTTCTATGGTCTACCTGTGACTCCAAACCCTACTAAGTAGTAGGTTATGACCCCTTAGTTAGAGGGTCTGACCCTTAAAACGGTAGGGTTTTGAATCCCCAGGTACAAGGAACGTAAGAGGTAGATCAAATTACAAGTATAACAGGCAAACTATAAGGAATAACATTGGTAACCATGCGGGCTTCCATGATAGATCCTAGATACTAAAACCCTGCCGTCTAGCCCCTGCAAAACTGGCCTATGCAATTGGAGAGCGGCTTCGGGTATGTTCCAATACAGCTATATAGGGACTGTAAGGAAGATATTCTGAAGAATTCTTCAGACAAGTCGTAGCATTAGTCATTTTCAACCATACATCGTAACTCCTGCAAAAAAAACAGGGTTTGAGATCCCGTAGCTCATGGATGCAGCGTGGGGAGCTTGTCGTAGACCCAGTCCAGGGATGTGCCCGGACAAGAATAGCCAACCTGCCGGCGATGAGTGGTCCAAGGTCTCAGGATAAAGGGTTTAGATTTAATTACGGGCTTAGGGCTCGGAGTTTAGGGTTTCGGGTGTAGGGTTTCAGGATACAGGGTGTATGGCAGAGGGATCTACATAAGTAGACTAGGTGACTAGGTATCTTTGGGCGGGATTCGGACAGCTATATTGCGGTGGAGTCTTTTTGGTCGGGGAAATTGGGCTCTATATGCTAATTATTCTTGCTGCTGCTCTTATCCGTTATCGCGGTCATGATGTTCGTGGTGAAAGCTAATTACAGTGATGGTTGTTGTAAGATGAAAAGGGTGAGGAGTGCAGAATGCCGCGATTACGTCGCCGCCCGGGACCATGGTTCTGCCCAAGATACTGATGACGGCGCTGAGCGTGATGCTTTTCGATGCTACCGAAGTACTACGTACACACCGGAGACCAAGCCCTACTAAGCAACACCCACCCTGCTGCCGATGCTGATGCTGTTGATCGTGTGCGAGGAAGTTGACGGCCCCAATAGGAATTTTCATTGTAGACAAGAATGAGTACAACTACTTAAAGCTGTACCTATGGGTATCCCGTTCAAAGGATATGATCCTGACAAGTAGGTTCGTCTGCCGTATATTGAAGATACTTTGGTTCCTCGTAGATATATAAGCCTTCAACATTAAACCATAAGACTCCAACCCACACCCCCCCTCAAAAACAAAACAAAAACATGTAGTAGTCTGTATACACCTGTGGATCCAAACCCTACAACATAGTACTTTAATGACCCCTGAATTAGAGGGTCGAACCCTTAAAACGGTAGTTTTAAGGATCCCAAGGTAAACCCTAAACCCCAAAACCCCCAAACCCTATAGATCCCCTTTTTTGGAGCCATTAAGGCAAGCCCTTAAAACGGTAGGTTTTTGGATCCCAAAGCCTAAACCCTAAACCCTAAAACCTAAAACCCTATGGATCCCTTATAGGAGCCCTTAAAGGAGCCCTTGTAGAACCCTTAAAAACGGTAGGTTTTTGGATCCCCAGGTTACCCTTATAGAACCCTGCAAGGAACCCACACACTTCGGCCTCCTTGCCAGCGGCACCGAAGGGGCATTTGCAGTGCTTCTCATCCAGGGACTTGAGCACATTCATCATCTGCTGCCTACTACGGTGAGCGGTTTAGTGTTTAGGGTTTAGGGGTTTAGGGCTACTTGGGCCCTGAATAACCTACCCTTTGAAGGACTTGTATAAAGAAATCGTACTAAGGATCGTTAAAAAGGTAGGTTCTTTGGGGTCCAGGTAAAGCCTGTTGTAAGTAGGGAATGCCTGTCGGAGATTTTCTTGCAGAAAGCTTACCAAGGAAACTGCTTCAATGGCATCCGAAACCCTAAGGCTCCGAATGGACAAGCAGTACCTACTTTTGGGACGGTTTAGGTTTAGGAGTTGGGGTCTAAAGTGAAAAAGTCTACCGGCACTACCTGGTCTGGGAAGAACAACCAGTCCTCAATGTTTACAGCAGGGCTGCGGGCTGTATTTCAGATAGGGGCGAGAAGTGCATGCCTTCATTGAAAAGAAGTTCCGCCCCTAGCTAGTTTGTGCGTTTAGGGTCTGAGGTTCTTGGTCGGTACGTACAGGGGGAGGCATAAGTAGAATACAGCATGGAGGCAGAATACATGGTAAAGTTCTGGTGGGACTGTAAGAGCATGTTATTGAACATATGCTCCGAGCCATATAACAATTGTTTAGGGCTCATCACACCTGGCCTCAAGTTCCAAGCATTTATTGACCCCTGATCCTGAAGCCGTGCACCCCTTCAACAAGATCATTATGCCTGATATAACCCTGTTAGCCACCCTGAACCCTGAACCCCAAAGCCTAAACCCCAAACGGTGAACCATCAGTATCCCTACTTAGTTGCTGAGTTCATAAGCCCCCAACAGTATACACTTTTAGTTTTATAGTGGGTGTTATTATCCCAAAAAGTGTAAAGTGTATCCACTCAGCTACTTAATAAGCTTAAATCGTCTAAACCCTAAACCCCTAAACCCTAACCCTAAACCAGCTTCAAGCCAAGCGTCTGGTTTCGGTCAGCGAGGTGGGACATGTCATAGGCCCACGGCATGTACAGGCCTGAGAAATCTCTTTCTCTTGGGGACTGCAGCTGCGTTGGTTTTAGGTTTTAGGGGTTTAGGGGTTTAGGACTTAGATTTATTGAAAAAAAGTCGATGTGCACCCTTTCTCCAAAGCAGCGCTGGCATCTTGGCCGTCAACTTAGTGAGGTTTCAGGATTTAGGGTTTAGGGGTTTAAGGCTTAGGGTGGGAGGGTTTATAGGGAACTCCAGAAAGTTGGAATATGGTTTCATGGTAGGATACCCTATAATTTACCATAGAAGGGTTAGGAGAATCATATTCCAACTTTCTGGCTTTTACCTTAAACCCTCAACCCTTTTAAAAAACGGAACCAACCCCCCTTTAGGGCCCCTAAAGTACAAGATCCCTAAGCCCTTCAGCCGTCGTTTGGTATTCGCCTCAGAGCCCTTAGGGTTTAGAGCTTGGGGGGTGCTTTTTTTGGTACTGAGAGGGCGGGTTTCAACTGCAGGAAACCCATGGGTCCAACACCCAGACAGGAGGATCTCAGAGAACTTGAGACCCTATGCTACTAAAGACCTAAAAACCATGTGCCCAAATAGTACATAGTTTAGGGTAGAAGTACGTATCATATATATATATATATATATATATATATATATATGTATATGTTTATATATACAACCATAGAGGGATTCTTTTGAGGCTAAAGTATGGTATATCCTAAACCCTAAACCCTACATGGACCCTTAGGGAAGACGACTGCCTGGGTTTTTGCAGGACCGTCTCGGCTTCCAAGGAAGTATGGCTTGGTTTTCAAGGGCTCCGGTCTGTATCCCGAAGGGTCCAAGTACCTAATCACCATAGAGTCTCCCAAAGAGGAATGAGGTACAATTATAACTACTACTACTACTACTACTACTACTACTACTACTACGACGACGACTACTACTACTACCATTCTTCCATTCCCTACTAAATAAAGGTAAGTCAAGGGCTCCGGTCTGTCTTGGGCGTTACCTTCCTAGGGTTTAGGGTTTGGCGAAACTGACAGTATTGGCAACTATGAAGGCTACTGCAATCAAAACCCCTGCATCAAGCCCTAAGCCCTAAGCATAGGGCAGGCATTTGCAGAATACTACCACGAGAAGTAGCATGATGGCATAGGGTTTAGGGTTTAGGGACCCATGGTGATGCGCAGACTCATGACGAAGATGAGATGGCGACAATCATCATATGCCTGAACATGCCTAAGCCCGGAACCCAATCAAAATCTGTCTTATGAACCCAAGAACACTCATCAAAGCATTTATGTAACACACAACAGCCCTTGTTAACACATAACATAAAAGCCCTCATAGCAAAAGCGCATTCAAACTATGCAACAGCCTTCATACAGGACATATTTATAAACTTGGAAATCGCACTGAAACAAAACATAATTCAGAACACGTCTGTTCCGGAGACAACGTCCTCTGAAGAAACATGCAGCACCTGCATCCGCAAGTCCTGCGAAATAGTAGGTCACGGCCCCAATATTCGTATCGGCCATAACCCTTGAAACAATAGATTTTCGCATCCACAGGTAAATCATATGAGGGCTCGCTCCTTAATTCAAGAGGTTTTGAAGTCTTTTGGTAGTAAAAGGACCTGAAAAATAGAGTATGCTGTAAGAGTACAGACTACTCATACTCCACGTATAATAAAGAACCCAAGGAGGACTGTTTCAAACTGCTTCGGCCCCTTTCAAGCCCTTCTCTGTAAAACTGGTTGTAGCCGCGCTGGTAGAACTGATCGGCGGACCTGTCAAGGAACCCTTTGATATGTATAAGAAAAATTCTACCGCTTTAATGGTTCGACTCGACCCTCTAATTAAGGGGTCATAAACCTACTAGTTTGTAGGGTTTGGACGCACAGGTAAACCCTGAACCTAAGATCCTAAACTCTAAACCCTCAACGGAACCCTTCAAGACAGATTGAAGGGTTCCTTTCAGGGTTCCCTGAAACCAGAACCGAGGCTCCCAAAGTACCGCTGTGCACCGTGAGGAATGTCGTTGGGTCGTACTCCGAAACGGCCTGGGCTTCAGCTTTCCTTTTCTTGCGGGTTGGGGTTTAGGGTTTGGGGTCCCAGGGTTTTGGGTTGAGGGCTCCGGTCAGCTTTGTTCTGTGTTGGTAAGGCGTCTTCTTTCGACTGCACACGGGCCACCACGGCTACCCGACGGTCCCGAGAGGTTTGATGTTTCGGGATCTGGCCTTAAGTTCAGGGCTTGATAAGAGCTAAAGATGTGTCGGTGTTTTGTATTTGTTTAGATTCCGAACAGCCAAAGTAGATACTTTTGACAAGGTTTTAGACTCCAACCCCAAAGTAGGTACTATTGCAAAACTTGGAGCCCTGGGGTGGGTTCTTCTAAGTAACCTCTCTTTGGGACTGTATTAGAAGTATACAGGGACTACAGTACACCAAAAGGTTAAAGGTTGCCTACAGCGCTGATACTAAACCCTAAACCCTAAAATGTGAAACGCCCCGATGCTAGACCCCCGTGCAAGTACCATCTAAAATATCCCAAGTACCCACTATTAAAGGCCATAAGTACTCTATTAAAGGGCCTTTGCATTGGGGGTTCTGGATACTAAACCCTAAACCCTAAATCCCTAAAAACCTTAAACCCTAAACCCTACACCCTAAACCCCTAAAACCCTTAACCTAAACCCTAAACCCTATAGAACCCTTATAAAGGAACCCTATGAAGCCCTATAGACCCCTTTTTAAGGAACCCCCTATCTTTTAGAGGAGCCCTGCTGAAGCCCTCCTGTGGATCCAAACCCTACAAAATAGTAGGTTATGATCCCTGAATTAGAGGGTCGAACCCTTAACACGGTAGGGTTTCGGATCCCAAAGCCTAAACCCTAAACCCTAAAACCCTATAGGAACCCTTAAAGGAGCCCTTGTAGAATCCTTAAAACGCTAGGTTTCTGGATCCCTAGGTTTCCCTTCTAGAACCCTAAACCCTAAACCCCAAAACCCCCAAACACTATAGATCTCCTTTTTTGGAGCCAGTAAGGGGAACCCTTAAAACGATAGGTTTTCGGATCCCCAGGCTGATACTAACTAGGATACCCAGTAACCTAAGAATAAAAAGCCTCTCTTTTTGGTATTGGGTAACTTTATAAGAAACCTAGGACTACAAAAATGGAATAAGGGTACTACTGGGCATCCTAGCTAAGCACCCTTTGGGCTTCCCGGCTGCTCGGATGAGCCGGGTCTCCGGCTCCGAAAAGGGCTTCGGCCCTGGAACCAAGGGTCCAAATATAGTCCCAAAGAGGGTTTATACCCTATGGCTCCAAGTATACCAATAGTACCTACGTTGGGGTTGAGGTCTAAAGTCTTGTCAAAACGGTTGATGATATAAATCCTGCATGACCCATAATAAGGAATATACCATAATTCCCGTAGTTTAGGGTTCGTAAGGTAATGCAGGATTTATATCATCAACCGAAGTACCTAATAATCATACACTCTCCAAAAAGGACCTGACCTAACCTACACGGCTACTATCCTAAAACTAGGATTCATTTTTTATGTGGCATAATTGAACACATTCTTATTGTGGCCTTCGTCGTGCTTTGTGTTCTTGTTTTCCTTTTCTGACGAGTTCTGGGTGCCTCTTGGCTCGGTGCCCGAAACCCTACTTGGAGGGGCAGGGGACTTAGTAAGTAGATTATATGTAGAGTTTAAAGTAGCCTAAATGGAGTTACCCAATTATAACCCTACTTATAAACGACTTACTAAGTCCCCTGCCCCTCCAAGTAGGCTTCAGTGGTTTTGGGGAGATCGCAGACCCTCGGGCTTGATGGGTTGTGGATTTCTGGGCTTAGGGTTTAGGGGTGTAGGGTTTGGGGCTTAGGGGTCATGGGGTTTGGGGGTTTAGGTTTGAGGAGTTTAGCGGTTCAGGCTATGTTTACTCTCCCTACGGCTGATGCCCTAAATCCTGCATCATTTTAAACCTCCTCACGGCTCCAATGTCACCCCTAGTTTTAACATTGCACTGACGCTGGGGCTAAACAAAGGCTTGCGCGAATGCTCAAAAGTTCCTGCATCCACGGGGATGCAACATTAAAATGAAGGGGTTGCAGGGAAGTGGACAGCACAACATGAGATATGTGCGATGATGTATGTAGGTTATGCAGGATTGTGGGCATCATCTGTATTATTGATGTCCTTACATATTAACTGAAATCATAGGCCCAGAGACTCCAAGATCCCTGAATTCAGGAATATGCCTTGAATTATAGTAGGATCTCTGATATGATTTATTTAAGGAACGTTCCTTGATTAACGGCAATTGGAGTCTTTGGGTTTTTTTTTTTTTGAACGGCCCTTTTTCGACTCGCAAGGAGTCTTTGGGGGTTTAGGCTTTAGGGGCTCATGGCCTGAAGGATCGAAGGTTCTTGGGCTCTTGGGCTTCTCTGGGTTTAGGGCTTAGGGTCCTTACTGTACAAGTCCTCAAAAAGGCAATTCCTTCAGGGTTAAGACAATCTCCCTAAGGGTCCATGTGCCCAAATAATATACTTTCGCCTTCAAGTAGTCCTTTGGGGCCAAAGTATCTACCATTTGGGCACGTGGACCCTTAGGGCCTTAATAATTCAGAATAGGGTTTTGGGGACCATTACTTGCAGGGGCAGGGGACTTCGTAAGTAGATTATAAGTAGAGTTATAAGTACCCTAAACAGAGTTGCCCCAATTATAACCCTACTTATAAACGACTTACTAAGTCCCCTGCCCCTCCAAGTATACTATACTTAATTTTGGGCACCTATAACTCGCAGCTCTGCCCACAAACCCTACAAAAGAATTAGTAGGTTAAGGCCCCTTAATTCGAGGGTAGAACCCATTGAACAGTAGGTTTTCGGATCCCCTGGTAGGAGTTGGGCTTCTTCTTCTCCGAAACTCCCCAGACCTTCCAAAATCCCTTAAGGAATATACCTTAAATCATAATAGGGATCCCTAATATGACTTAAGGTATATTCCTTAATTAAGGGATCTTGGAAGGTCTGGGTCTCACATCCAAACTCACAATACTCCACCAAGACTCCAAAAAAAGAGCAGATAACAAAGAGAACATTCGGAGCAACCCTAAACCCCTAAACCCCTAAAGCCTAAACCCCTAACCCCCTAAAGCCCTGTGCGCAGGACCTGGGTTGGAGTCCTGGCCGTAAACCGCCGAGTCCTGCAGCAGGCTTCAGGTAGGGTTTAGGGTTTAGGGTTTAGGGCTAAGGGGCTTTTAGGGTTACTTGGAGGGTCGGGAGACTTCGTAACTGGTTTTTTTGGGGACTTATAAGTACCATAACCCCAATTAGGGTCCCTTTTAGGGTACTTATAAGTCTACTTACTACCTACTTGCTAAGTCCCCCGACCCTCCAAGTAGGGCTCAGGGCTAAAGGGAGGATGGGGGCGAAGGGGTTTCCAGGGCAACAATGCGCGCATCCTAAACCCTGAAACCCCTTGTACGATATACGGGTACCCGAAACCCTATATACCCTCAAGTCCGATCCCCAAAAGTTGGCATCCCTGGAGCACTTCAAAAAGCCCAGATCCGTGAGGGATCTAAAGATGGAACCCCCACCAAACACAAAAGATGGGTTCACCTGAGACATTTGGAAGGGGCACACCCAAAACCCTAAACCCTAAACCCAATACCCAAACCTTAAATCCCAAAACCGTGGTCCTGAGAGGCCTTCAACTGACAATTTCCAGAAAATGTTAATGTAGGAACCTGATTAAGAAACCTTTGGCCTTTATTTGGGTTCCTTATATGGTTGATACATTGATACTATTTAAGGGTTATAGATTATAGGCGCAGGGTTTCGTTATCAGGTTCCTATGTTAACTCCCAAAGCCTGCTCCAGCAACAAGAAAGGTGCTTTGGAAGTTTGGGGAGTTTCGGGTTTGAGCAACCGCCCTCTAAACCCAAGCCCTAAACGCCAAACGCTAAACCCTTAACCCCTACACCCTGAACCCTCAACCCCTAAACCCTGCGCACAAAAGCCGCAGCTCCTTCTGCCACGCCTCCTGAGGACCGATGGAGCTGGAGGGCATTTACAACGTTCCGCAGTGACCCCCTGTGCGACCCCTCGATATTCCTGACACGCTTTACGGTTTAGGGTTTTGGGTTTCAATATTACTGACACTCTTTGGTAATGATACCCCGATCTGAAGGCAAGGGTAAAATGGTACTTTGGGCGGCCTAGTATATTACTCTGTTGGGGATGCATGGTGATGCCTGAGGTTTATTGGTACATGCATATTTGGACTGTCTGTCAGGGTTTAGGGCGTAGGTTTTACAGGTTCCAGGTGTTAAACAAGCAGGAAGCTTTACCAGGCCGCATCGTCTGAAACGGCCTGGGCTTAGGGTTTAGTTTAGGTCTGAAATGCCGGATGTCTCCGCAGGGAAGACCTGTTGTGTAGTGCTTGGCACTCTGGTGGTCCCAAACGCGAACTCTACAATCCTATACTCCTAAGCCTACTTTTCGGTCTGTGGCAATCTCCTCGGAACTTGAACGATGCTTCAACCACAAGACTCACACTCAAGGGAGAGAGATGATGATGATGATGATGCTGACGATGATGATGATGATGATCATGATCTTGATGTCTTTGGTAATATTTGTTGATATGTTGTTGATGCTGGGCTGATAACGAGCAGAGAACGACAACGAGAACTGCAATGTGGGTATGAAGTCGAAGCCCAAGATGATGGCATGTAGAGCGAGAAAGCGTGACGGGAGTGCACTAGTGAGGATGTTGACGGTGATGATCCTTAGCCTTCTCCCAGCGGATTTACCAAATCGCGACATGAAAGCGTCGCTGCTTAGCAACACCCCATGCCGTAGAACCTGCACCCCCGTCGCTTAAACCTGAACCCTGATCTACCCAGTAACCTAGGAATAAAAACTAAGCACCCTTCTTGCCCCAGGACCGAAAAGGGTCCCTTCTTCCAGAAGCACCGTCTACTTACACTTGGAGACCGAGGGACTAGTATGGGTACTTCTCCTTCTTCGGGTTTAGGGTTTAGGGTCGGTTTAGGGTTTTAGGGTTTAGGGTTTCTTCGACGAGCATCGTCCCAGTTCCGATTCAAATCCACTCCGTCCGGGTTTGTCCGCACGCAGTAGTCGCCCCCCTCGACCTGCCGTGCTTCCCAGAAACTCCAATATGCCGCAATTAAGGAATAATCCTTAAATCATACCGGGGATCCTACTATAATTTCATGTATAGTCCTTAATTCCCTATAGAACCCGTATGGATCCCTTTAAGGAACCCTTAGGGGTATATTCCTTAATTCAGGGATAGGGTGGAGTCCCTGGCTTCCCCGAAGGCCCAAACCCCAAGACTCCATGGTACCCATAATAGGATAAGGGTTCCTTTAAAGGGTTCTATAAGAGATCTATAGGGTTTAGGGTACTGGGGTCCATGTACCCATATAGTAGATGCTTAGGCCTTAAAGTGCCTCTATAGGGACACCTTTAAGGCTTAAGTACCTACTATAAAGGTACCATGGACCCTTATGCCCTAACCCTATAGAACCCTGTAGAACCCTTAAAGGAACCCTTAAGGGAGCCCTTTTAAGGCTTAAGTACCTACTATGAAGGCACCATGGAGCCTTATAGAACCCTTAAAGGAACCCTTTTACGGCTTAAGTACCTACTATAAACATGGACCCTTATATCCTAAATCCCATAGCGACCTTTCAAGGAAGCCTTAAAGGAACCCTACTGTAAAGGACCCTATGGAGCCTTTGGGAGGGTCTGGGTACATGGAGCCTTTGGGAAAGAAGGAAGGCAGGATGGAGGATGAAGGGCTTCAGAGCCACAGTGCAGGGTTGAAGCTTAAGGAGTTCAAGGTTTAGGGTTTAGGAGTTTAAGGTTTAGGGCTTTAGGAGTTTAAGGTTTAGGGCTTTAGGAGTTTAAGGTTTAGGGCTTTAGGAGTTTAAGGTTTAGGGCTTAAGGAGTTCAAGGTTTAGGGCTTTAGGAGTTTAAGGTTTAGGGCTTTAGGAGTTTAGGGTTTAGGGTTTAGGAGTTCAGGGTCTAGGGTTTAGGGTTTAGGGTTTAAGGTTTAGGGTGTAGGGTTTAGGATTTCGGGTTTAGGGTGTAGGGTCAGAGGATGTTGCATAATTGGGTTTAGTGTGGTACAGTCATATAGGATTGACAGGTTTCCTTTCAGGGTTCTGTGGAGTGTGGAGTTTCTTTGTTTTATAGGGTTCCATTGAGGTTCCTATGGGGCCTATTGCAGCTGGATGGGTTGACTTATCCCTAAGGGTCCATGTACTAATATGGCCGGTACTCATATAGGGATGACTGTAAGGCCAAAGTATATTGTATAGTAGTACATGGATCCTTAAGGTACGGTTGATGATATACATCCTGCATGACCGTAAGGACCCTAAACTATGGGAAGTATGGTCTCTTCGTTGTTCTGGGCAATGCAGGGTGTATATCGATCATCAACCGTATTATAAGACCGCTACGTATACTAAACCCTAAACACGTGCATAAAGCCACTGAAATCCCACACGCAAAACCGTGGAAGCCCTCAGAGTCTGTAGAAGGGTTTCTTTAAAGGGACTTCTAAAGGTACTATAAATAATCATAGGGACACTTAGGGGGGTAGGGGGAGGGGGGGTAGGGGGTCTTAATGCCCATAATAAGCACCTAATAAGGCCTGACCCTTACCCCCTGGAGGGTCCCTATGATATAAGGATACTACAAGGTTCAGGGCTTACGGAGGGTTTTGGGCTTTGGGATGTGAGTTTGGGATTTAGGGTTCCTTTCAAGGTCCCATTGGGTTTTGAGGTAGAGTGCTGTCGATGTCAGAAGGTGTTTCTGCCTGTGCACATAGCCATGGCCTTACAGAGGTGTATAGCTGTAAATACCATCCGGGGCCTCACAAGTCAGAATAGTCTTTCGATTTGGGTGTGTAATACCCTAAACCCTAAACCCTAAACTTGGAGGAAGGACCTCCAAGGCATTGTGTTGGCAGCGCTTTTCAGAAACCCTGAACTGACAGGAACCCATTGAAGGAACCATGCGTTTTGGCCCTAGAACGCTCCTTTAAGGGGATCTATAGGGTTCCTTAAAGGGATCTATAGGGTTCCTTAAAGGGATCTATAGGGCTTAGGGTTTAGGGTTCTACTTGGAGGTTCATGGAACTTAGTAAGTACAGTCATAAGTATCTTAACATGGGTTACAAGTAACTACAAGCGTAGGAGCCAAAACCGTAGTTACTAAGACCCTTCAACCCTCAAGTATGGTACATGGACCAATCGGCCATGATGTCGGCTGTAGGTTTTGGGGTTAAGGATACGGGGCATGGCTTATGGCTTAGAGTTAGGGGCCTATATTCAGAATGCGTCTACTATAGTTCAGCTGTAATGCGGAGCCCGAAGGAACCCAGAGACGGCCTTATCCCCTTGATTAAGGAATATTCCGTAAATTATGGTAGGATCACATATATGATTTAAGGAATGCACAGTGCCTTCATAGGACTCTGCCAGCTTGCGGCTGAGCTGAGGGGTTCGGAGTTTTGAGTTCAGGTGTGTAGGCTTTAGGGTGTAGGGTTTAGCGAGTCTGATCAAGTTTCAGAGTTCAAGGGCTTAGAGTTTAGAGTTTCTGGCTTGGAGTTCAGTGTTAAGGGGGCTTAGGCTGTAGGGTTTAGGCTTTAGAGTCCAGTGGTGTAACGGGGTTTGCTATCCAGGGTCCCGGGCTAAGAGTTTGCCTATACCCTCCACTGTAGCTCCTTTGCTTGGTTGACAGTCTTTATTGCTAGGTTGAAGGGTTGGGTTCTCGTTGTTTACCTGACAAGGAGCCTCTGGGTAGCGTTTAGGATTCAGTGGCTTCTGGGGTTCATGGCTTTGGTCAAATGGTTTGCCGCCAACGCTTCCACGACTTGATGAACCACGCGGAAAAAGTTTTCAACAACAGTCTGTGAACAATAACCCTAAACCCTAAACCCTAAACCCTAAACTACGTCAACTATGGATCGTGTAGGGAGAACCACTAGATGCAGGGATTCAGAAATTTAGGGCCTGGAGTCTTTGGACATTCCTAGTCCATGGTTGGGATGGTGTTCAGAACTATTTGAATGTCTATTCCTTCCCGGGTTTTGATTTAAGAACCCATAAAATGTAAGTTGTTACAGCTACCCCTATGATTGTGGCTTTGTGGATTTAAGAGCTCCTTTTATAGTATACTTATAATAAGGAACCCTAAGTTAAGGAACACTATTGGTACTGAGTTAGGCTTAAGCCATAGAACTCCTCTCTTCTTCAACAACCGGACCCCCAAAAGTTCAAACGTTCTAAGATAGAGCTAATATATAAGGCCGAAAAGTTTAAAGTTCCCCGGTTCACTATCTAAGCTTAGCCCTCAGCCCTAAACCCTAAAACCCTATAGATCCCTTTGAAGGAGCCCCTATAATACCTGTGAGACTCAGCAGGAACTTGACTCTGGCTGGGAACGGACTCACTTCGATATACCCGTGAACCGTCTTAGGGTTTAGGGTTTAGGGTTCGATACCGGAATCTTTCAGTTGCTCTCGGCACTACCATCACTACCACAGACAGGAGGCCTCCAGGTGACAACAGATCCGTCGCCAAGCACGGCAACAAACGAATTTTCAGAGGCTTGGATCTGCTTGACATTCTGCAGCTGCTCCTGCACATCGCTGCTGTCACCACCGTCGTCAGCATCACCCCAGGTCACGACGGATCCGTCACCCAGAATGGCAGCAAAAGCGTGGAAAGAGGCTTGGATCTGCTGCACATTCTTCAGCTGATCCTGCACAGCACTACTGTCACCACCATGTCGAAAATTACCCCAGGTCACGACGGATCCATCGCCAAGAATTGCAGCAAAAGCGCTGTCACAGGCTTGGATCTGCTGCACATTCTTCAGCTGATCCTGCACACAACTACTGTCACCACCGCAGGCAGCATCACCCCAGGTCACGACTGTTCCATCGCCCAGAATGGCGGCAAAAGCATCGCCAGCAGCTTGGATCTGCTTCACAGTCTTCAGCTGACCCTTCACAGCACTGCTGTCACCGCCACGGGTAGCAGAACCCCAGGTCACGACGGATCCGTCGTGAAGAATTGCGGCAAAAGCGCTGTGAGATGCTTGGATCTGCTGCACATTCTTCAGCTGCTCCTCAACAGCACTACTGTCACCACCGTCGTCAGCATCACCCCAGGTCACGACGGATCCATCGCCGAGAAGGGCAGCAAAAGCGCTGTCACAGGCTTGGATCTGCTGCACGTTCTTCAGCTGATCCTGCACACCACTACTGTCACCACCGCAGGCAGCATCACCCCAGGTCACGACGGTTCCATCGCCCAGAATGGCAGCAAAAGCGAAGTGAGTAGCTTGGATCTGCTTGACATTCTTCAGCTGCTCCTCAACAGCACTACTGTCACCGCCGTCGTCAGCATCACCCCAGGTCACGATGGATCCGTCGCCCAGAAGGGCAGCAAAAGCGCGGAAACAGGCTTGAATCTGCTGTACATTCTTCAGCTGATCCTGCACATCACTGCTGTCAGCACCATGGTCAGGATCACCCCATGTGACAACGGATCCGTCGCCAAGAATGGCGGCAAAAGCGCCAATGGTGGCCTGGATCCGTTGGACATTCTTCAGCCGGTCTTGCGCAGAGCCAGCGTCGCTACTGTAGTTGTCACTACCCCAGGTCACCACGGATCCATCACCAAGAATGGCAGCAAAAGCATCGACATAAGCGGCTTGAACTTGAATTTGGATTATGTGCATGGTCAGAGAGTCACCATTCTCCAGCCTGGCTGTCTTGATCGGGGCAGACACATCCAGTACGCTTCCAGATGAGTCCAGAAGCCGTCCGCTTCCGACTCCAAGTGCGGTTTGTGCTCGCCATGTCAACGTTGCAACCGTTTCGTCTAAGCCGACTTCCACAGAAACTGCCTTGCCGCTCAGCAATGCAATTTGCACCGAAACCGACATGGGTAGTTCTCGATACTGTCCCTTTTTCGGGTCCACAAAGTAGTACCGCACCTTCATAAACAAAGGACCTTAGAAGGGACCCTATTTAAGACAACTAGCTTTAAAGAACCCGTATAGAAAATGTATAGAAGCCCTCATAGAGCCCTTTAAGGACCCCTAAAAAGGGACCTATATTACAGGGACCCTAGTGAAAATTCAAAGGGTCCCCCTAGGTATATACGCTTAATACAGCCATTATATACCCATTACATAGCCCATTATAGGGTGAGGGTCCCTATTAAAGATCCCTCCTTTTCCCCTTTGAAAAATGTCACAAGTGGAAGAGCTGAAACTTCAGCTCTTGGGTTTCAACGCCTTGGGCAGACGATGAATCTCTTCTGGCACGCCGTCTTGGTAGGTTTAGGGTTTAGGGTAAATCGTGTGCCTACCATGTCATTACTTGGCTGACTTCGGAACCCCTCCTAAAAGTTAAACTTTTAGCCTCCTTGTTATACTTTATATAGAAACCCAAAAAGTTAAAGTCTAAAGAGCCAACCAGAAGAACGCCACAGAGAAGAAGCTGAACGCGACTGCTGCCGGAGCAAACTCAGGTGCTATGAACCCCAACCCTACCTCGGGATCCAAAAGCCTACCGTTTAACTAAGGGGTCATAACCTACCATTTTGTAGGGTTTGGGGATGCAGGTACACCATAAACCCTAAACTGCTGCGGAACATGTGGACGTGCAGATGAAGGGCCAAATCAAAACTGCAACGCATCAACACCAACCTCCTACAAGCCTGTGTCCACTCGCTCATATCTACTTGAGTCAATGAAGAGCTCGATAAGAACAGTTGTCTCCTTAGGGTCTTGTGTAAACCTGGGCACATTGTAATACTGAATTCTCACAACCTGGGCAGCTCAATCTTACCCCAAACCCCACAAACTAAACGATGAGTTGGAAAGTAGGCGGCTTCCTGAAACGGATCCCATCCTCTCCTCCGCAGAAGGTCAACAAAACACAAAGGTTTTGGTGATCCCTCTATCGCTAGGCATCTAAGGACTCACATATTATTAAAGCTCTTGGGCCCAAAGACCATACTATATAAGGCTTCTGGGCTATTTTGATGCCCAAGGTATTATATTAGGAGTTCAGGGTTTAGGGTTTTGGAGATCCCTGTAAAAGCAACCAGAACCCCAATAAAGGAACAAACCCACAAGGCAACCCAGAGCCCTTAATCGTAAACCCTGAACCCAAAAAACCTGAAGCAGGTTGTCGAAAAAAGACAACCTACCCTGGGAGGTTCATTGGGGTTCCTACTTCTTGGATTAGCCAAGCTTCTGCTTAGGATCTTAAAAACGACTACTAGACAACCCGCACCGGAGGAGCTGCAATGGAGACTGCTATCCCGTTGAATAACACCCGTATAGCATGCTTACAAGGAATCGTTAAGGAGAAAACGCAGAACCTGCAAACGTGAACCCGCAAACCCTAAATCGCTGAGGGGGAAACGTTCCAACGGAAAAAGGAGGGACCCTTAATAAGGACCCATATACCCTTAATATAGCTATTTATATACCCATTATATAGCCCATTATAGGGTAGGGGTCCCCATTGAGGGTCCCTCCTTTTCCCCTTTGAAACGTCATGTACTCATATAGTATATACTTAGGCCGTAAAGTGCCTATATAGGGACCCCTTTAAGGCCTAAGTATCTACTTTTTGGGAACATGGATCCTTATACCACACAGCCTATAGAACCCTTATAATATCCCTTAAAGGAACCCTAAACGGAACCCTCCTGAACTCTAAACCAGAAGGCAAAATCGTTGAAGGGGAAACGTCCAGGGAGAGCTCGGGTCTGCTAAGCCCGCCTTCCGACGCGATCGTGGGTTGCCATTGAGAAGTAGCGCGAACTCGCTGTCCTGCGGTTGATGGCAAAGGGATCTATAATGGTACCTTTAAGGGGTTCCTTTAAGGGATCTATAGGGTTTTAGGGTGTAGGGTTTAGGGTGATGATATAAACCCTGCATTACCTTAAGGACCCTGGGCCTAAACTGTGGGAATCATGGTATATTCCTTATTATGGGTCATGCAGGATTTTTACCATCAACCGTGCCAAACCGGTCAGGGTTTTCAGGGCTTACAGGCTTACAGGGTTCGTTTGTTTCGGTTTTCGGGAACGTGGATTTCTGAGTTCGGGTTTGGGTTTGGCGTTGTAGATTTCAGAGGAACTGTGTCGGCACTACAAGGGCTATTTAGAAGCTAGAAAGAACCGCTATGTATCTCTGTCGGATTCTCGAATGTTCTACCTTGGGGCCGCAGTACTATTTGTAGACTATAGACCCCAAGGCAGGCACTATTCGCATACTTGGAACCCTAGGGCTAGATTTTTGCCCTGAGACCCAAACACCCCCGCCACCGGCAAGCCCAGAGAGCGAGAGCTGGAAATCGTAAAGCACACCTTTACCTACCAAGTCCTACTTTGCCCCTGGGCTTAAAGGCCCACAGGACTTAGTAACTAGGGGTACAACGGATCCTTTTAAGGCTACTATACTTACTACCCCAATAAGCCACAGAAATAAAAGGTTAAACTTTCCGACTCCTACTAAACTTTAAGAACCCAAAAAGTTTAAAGGTTATGTATTGGGTATCTAAGTATAAGGCCCCTACAGCGGGTTTCGCTCCAACGGTTCCTTTAAAGGTTTGGGGTCTAGGAACTACTTAAAGGCTCATGGGACTTAGCAACCGGTCAGTGATCTACGTAAGTTGACCGTACTTATAATCAGCGATGTCCCCACTTAAGGTACTTTTAACTTTACCTACTAAAGTCCCATGAACCTCCAATAATGAGAAACTGTGTATCGCATGTTGAGGACCCGGCGAAGAAGATAGCTTTTGTTAGGCTAAAACCCCAAACCCCTTAACCCCTGAAGCCCGAAACCCCAACCCCAACCCCCAAACCCCTAAACCCTAAACCCTAAACCCCTAAACCCTAAACCCCTAAACCCCTAAACCCTAAACCCTAAACCCCTAAACCCTAAACCCTAAACCCCTAAACCCAAAACCCCTAAAACCCTAAACCCTAACCCAAAAACCCAAAACCGCCTCCGGGCTCCTTTAGACCCCACTTTGCCCTAAGGGGCCATGTGCCCAAATAGTATAACCCAAAGGCTTCATGTATCTTTATAATAGATACTTGAGCCTTACAGGGATAGTATATCCCAAAGGCTTCATGTATCTTTGCAGTAGATACTTGAGCCTTACAGGGGTCCATATACTTTGAGGCCTAAGTATATACTATATGGGCCCATGTACCCAACTAGCATATACTTTGCTCCCACAGTACCAATATAGGGACTACCTTATGGGCCTTTAGGTTTGCAGCTGCCCCCACCCTGTAATAGTGACTATAAGGATTATATTAGGGACCTGTTATATTCCTACTATACCACTAGTACAGGGTGGGGGCGCCTTCTAACCTAAAGCCTAAACCCTGAACCCCCAAACCCCACAGAATAGTAGGTTATGACTCCTTACTTAGAGGGTCTGACCTTTCAATCGGTAGGGTTTTTGGATCCACAAGTAAGCCCTTCTAACCTTTAGGTGTACATTGCCTCAAACCTAAGCGGCCTAAACTGTGGATGCTTAGGGTTTCGGCTAGGTTAGGGTTAAGGGTTTAGGGTTTAGGGTTTAGAGTTTAGGGTTTAGGGTTTAGGGTTTAGAGTTTAGGGTTTAGGGTTTAGAGTTTAGGGTTTAGGGTTTAGGGTTTAGAGTTTAGGGTTTAGGGAAGTTGGTTGAATGTGGCAAGCTCAGGAGATTGGGAGGCGTCCTTGCTGTATGAGGCTTAAATCAGGGACCTCCAGCCAAAACAACCCCCTCACCATCTTTTCCTGAATTGACGTCTGGCGGCTGCCCTGCTGGGCAGAGTCAGCGAAGCCATGTCAAAAGCTAGTTCATTGTCCCCCACCTCGGGGGGTAACATCTGGCCGGTGCAAGTGCACTGTCAGCAGAGCACACAGCCAAGAACTTTCGACAGCTGTACAGGTGATCTCCTCGTCTCTGTACCGGGTGGAGGGCTGGGTGCCTTGTGATCTCAACTCTTGCATGAATTCTTTGGCTCCCTCTCTCTGAACTCCCAGAGACTCCAATATCCCTTAAATAAGGAATATCCCTCAAATTATAGTAGGATCCCTTATATGATTTAAGGAATCTTCCTTAATTAAGGGATATTAGAGTCCCCTAAGCCCTAAACCCTATAGATCCCTTAAAGGAACCCCTAAGGACCCCTTTAAAGGAACCCATTCCTTAATTAAGGGATATTGGAGTCTCTGAACTGACATCCCGATGTCACACAAGACTGCCAGTTTCGAGGTGAGGGCTGCTGCCAATGGTTCAAACCTCGGCTGCAGAACCGCATACCATACGGCTGATGGACAAAATCCTGCGTGACCCATAATAAGGAGTATACCATCATTTCCATATAGTCCTTATTATGGGTCATGCAGGATTTTGTCCATCAGCCGTAGGGGCCTTGATAAGCAGAATAAGGTTTGTGGGGACATTATATGCTAATTATAAGAAGAAGCACCAACAAATCCTCTTCTAACTATTATACGATAATTATAAGACGAAGCCCCCGAAAATCCTCTTCTAATTATTAAAGCCCCTGTAGTACCTAGAACTCAACATCTTCAAGTCCAGAGTTGAGGATTTAGGAGAGGGTTTCACTTGGAGGTTCATGGGAGTTAGTAAGTACTTAAACAGCTCCTTAAAAGGCTCCTTAAAGGCATCTATAGGGTTCCTTAAAGGGATCTATAGGGTTTAGGGTCTACTTGGAGGTTCATGGGAGTTAGTAAGTATAGTTATAAGTACCCTAATTGGGATTATAAGTACATAGAAGTGTTGTTACCTTGTTTACACCCCTAATTACTAAGTGGTTTTAGGCTTTAGGGTTGTAGGGGTTAATTAGTGTAGACTTGGGGCAGGTGCCTCAACCACGAAACTCTCAAAAAGCCACAACGCCACATAGGCACCAAAACCCTAGCCCCATCAAACCCTAAACCTAATCTCTAAATTAGGGTTTTGGGCTTGGGCGTAGATTATTGCAGTAGACTTGTATGGGGACTGCAACGGGATTCTAGAAGGTTTCGGAGTTCCCAAAGGGTCCGAGGTAATTACTGACATGGATGATACTTCCAAAATCATAACAATGATTCCAAACATAGAATCCTTACATTCCACTCTATAGCTTCTTCGGACCCTTTGTGGTTCGAGTTCTTATTGCGATCGCTGTGCGCAAGACATGCCACGCGACGACCAAACAGAGTGCTTAAACACCTGCTTTCTTGTTAGATGTTAGATTTGGTTACCTCAGTAGGTGCCGATTTCAAGAGTCCCCAAATTACTTAACATTAGGGCTCTACGTTAAACACTAAGTGAAATTAAACATTGTCCGAAATCGTTACCTACCTTAAGATTCAGCCGGCCTTTGATACGCCGTCTGCGAGGCAATGAGGGTTTTGCAAGTTACTGAGGTCTCATGGGGCTTTGTTCTGGCCCACCCGTGGATCAGGTGTCCTAGCCCACTATGTTTTAGAATTTGTGTCACAGGTAGGGTTTAGGAGTGTATTTTAGGTCTTGAAGTTTTACCTGTAGCCCCAAACCCTATGACCCCTTAATTAGAGGTTAGAACCCTTAAAACCGTAGGTTTTCGGATCCACAGGTATGTTCCAGGGAGGGCTACTACAAAACCCTTGTATTGGAGGCCTTGGTTAACTAGCTGCTCGCTCTGAATAAGGTTGCGGAAGGGTTTCCTAAACCTACTAAACCCACTTAGACCCTAAACTCTACCTGGAGATCCGAAAACCTACCGTTTTAAGGGTTCTACCCTCTAATTAAGGGGTCGTAACCTATTATTTTGTACGGTTTGGGGATACAGGTAAACCCCAACCCTAAGCCCGATATGGGTGGTTGTCCAAATTATGGTCCCTTTTGGGGTCCTGATTATAATACGGCACCTACTTTTTTTTGTGCCCCCAAAAAAGGATCGAAATTTTGACAGCCTGTAGGTTTTAGGAGTTCCCGACAGCCCCCAAGCTCCACACAACAGCAGGCGTTAGCCCCATGGTTAGATAAGACTACAGCATGTTGCGCGAAGGTTTCTGACCTACAGGTACCTGTGACCCCAAACCCTACAAAATAGTAGTTTATGACCCTAGCTTAGTTAGAGGGTAGGACGCTTAAAACGGTAGGGGTTCGGATCCCCAGGTAGGGCTTCATAAGCCCAAATCCAGACCCTGAAGCCTAAACCCCTAAACCCCGGAACCCCTAAACCCCTCCTGAACCAAGCATGCACGACCTCAACACTCCAAAGGTGTTGGAAGGTTCATGGGACTTGGTAATGTTAGAAAGTGAAGGGTATCTTGAAAGGGTTTCCATAACAGTAATTTGCAGATTCTACAAGGGTTCAAGCGAAAGGCTCTAAGAAACTGCAAGAAATGTTACTTTATTGATAACTAACGACCACACTAGCTACTTAACTTAGTCCCCTGATCCTTTAAGTGTCCCTAAACCCTGAACCCTAGATGATCCTTCAAGTGTTGCCGTCGGACGTTGGGGCGGCAGATGTACCCCATGTGCTTCTCGATGCCCCAATCCCAAATAAACCTACAGCATAATGGGCTCAGGGTTGGGGTTTAAAATTAGGGATGACAGTAAAGCCTAGGTGCCAAGCGCAAGAAAAAATCCGGTTTGGTTGTCGTTTTGTGGCCGGGACCGGAGCAAAATCCCTCAAGCCTAAACCCGACTGCCTAAACCTTACCTAGTGGCTCATACCCTACGCCGTTCTTAGGATACTAATTTTATGGTTAGGATCTGTTCTAATATAGAAAAGTGATTACACTGAAAAAGCTAAAAAACAACAAAAGGTAGAGTATAAGCTTTCCGGTACACCCAAACCACAAACCCTAAACACGAATGCCTAAACCCTACACCATACCCAGAGCCGAAAGGAAAGCCCAGGAGCTACCACGACAGCGTCCGCTTCCACCTCGGTTCGTGGAGCCAACAGCTTCCACACAATCCTAAGCCCTGGGAGTCTTAGGTAACTATTAGCTAGCAGGGTTTAGGCTTATAGGGTCTAGGCCCAAGTTTAGGGTTTAGGGCCATTGGGCCATAGGGTTATGTTTAGGGTTTCAGGTTTGATGCTAGGGGCTCGCTCTTTTGCGAGGTTTGCTTGATGGGTGATCCATGGATTCATGGACAAAAAGTTTATCATGTTTCGATTTTCGGGTGGTTTTGATGTCCATGCTAGCTGTCATGGTAAGCCCATATGCGCATTTTTCAAACCCTGTCAGGCGATAGCATGGCCAGGTTCTTAACTCTTGACAGCCAAGCACACACAAAACAGAAACAACTGATCCCGAAATCGCTACCGTTTACCCCGGACACCATGTAACGTGTTCTTACAACCACGACAAAGGCAAAAGCAATGAGTGATTCCAGTGGCTCCAAAGAAGCTATCTGAAATCTTTACAAATTCCAGCATGCATCCCGAAACCCTACAACATAGTAGGTTATGTAGGATAAAACCCCCAAAACCCTACAGATGGCTTATTGGGAGCCACAAAAGGGGCCTTAGACCGCACATCTTTCGAGGAGACACAACGATGGCTCGGGCAAAGCGGAGCAACTACGCCTCCTACCAGAAAACGAATCACCTGCCAGCAGCGGATGGGAAGCCCAAGATCGGGAAGAACTTTCAATCCCTAGGCCCAGTCGCTTAACCCTAAACGCTAAGCCCTAGAGGGACCCCACACCCTAAACTACCCTAAACCCTAAAAGCACACTAAACCCTAAACCCTGCCCTAACCCCTAAACGCCTTAGCCCAATCGATTCCGAAGCACAACTGCGGGTTCTCAATGTCTCAAATTATAGTGGGATGGCTTTAAAGGAGTCCCTAAGGCAGATCCTAAGGTAGATCCCTTATAGATCCCTTTAAAGGAGCCCGGCGAGGCTCTGGGAAATCGTTTCCCTACTTGTCGGGTGTCATGGGGAATTTAAAGGTTAACCTTTTTGGTTATATAAGGATTATATAGGGACTATACTACCTAAAAAAAAGGTTAAAGGTTACCTACTCGACTACTAGGTATTGTGAACATACCCCAAAACTCTATTCTAATTCTTAAGGATCCTATATAACTCGACTACTAGGAAACCCTAAACGGCTGGACAGTTGGGGTAAACCCCTAAACTATTACAAACCCTACTAAACCATACAAACCCTACACCTCTAAACCCTGAATCCTGCCAGCACCCCCCAACTTCCCCCTATTCTACCACGACTACCTACTATTCAGCACCATAAGGGCCCTGCTCGACTACTAAGCTTCCGAAGCACGACAGTGGGTTCTGGATGCTCGCGCGATGCCGACTTAGAGAGCGCCGGCCGTCCTCGGAAGGCCTGCAAAAAGCGATGTAAGTAAGACTCCTTTTAAGGGGATCCTTAAGGGTCTCCTGTAAAGGGATCCTTAAGGGCTCCTTTAAAGGGATTCAGTCAGACTCCTTTAACGGGATCCTTAAGGGCTCCTTTAAACAGATCCTTCTAAGGCTCCTTTAAAGGGATCCTTAAGGGTCTCCTTTTAAGGGGATCCTTAAGGGCTCCTTTAAAGGGATCCTTAAGGGCTCCTTTAAAGGGACCCTTAAGGGTTCCCATGAAGGATCTATAGGGTTTAGGGTCGAGGGCTCCTTGTTTATTTAGGGGCTTTTTGGGTTCCTTTAAAGGGTTTTACAGGGTTCAGGGTTCCCCAGAGGGTCCATGTATACTACTATTTTGGAAGAAGGTAATCTTTTGGGGGCTTAGCTCCATAAGGGTAGTGTATATGGACCCTCTTGTTTCCTTGTGAAGGTACCTTTTAAAGGGTTGTTGCAGAGGATTTTGTAAAGGGTCTTATAGAGGTTTAGCATGGCATAAGAGGCTTGATGATTAGATCAAGGTGTACATTGAGCTTTAGGTAGCTTTAGGGTTGTGGCTTTCAGGGTCTAGCATAGGATTTCAGGAATGACTCTAAACCCTACACCCTAAAAAAAATAGGGCTTTGGGGTTTCCACCTTAGGCTTTGCGGCTTGAGGTTCAGGAACCACGTGCCCAAATTGGTATTTCTCTAAATTGGGGTCCCTTAAAGGGTCCTTTTTATAATAAGGGTGATGTGGGAGTGGGTGCGTGGGTGCGTGGGTGGGTGGGTGGCGGGGCGGGTGCTGGTTTTCGCCCTGAAATAGCGCTACGCGAGAAAAAACGGGGGGGGGGGGGGGGGGGGGGGTTCGCGTCCAGGAAGCTTAAGATTATTTTGATAGCCTTACGTTGACACCTTTCCGACATTCGTTCGTGCTTTCCTTCGGCTGTATTGCAGGTTCGCCCGGAGCGTGTGCTATCAGAGTCTAAGCTTGAGACGCCGTGGGTACGACATTCGCACACCAGAGCATAAGATGGGACTCCAAAGCAGGGTTCGGGATGCCATCTTCTGGTGCCAGCATTCGCCGTGCTTGTGAGTCTACCTGCTGGTTCTTATCTAAAGGAAGTGTCTGTGAACCCTCACTTCACCCTTTAACCCAAAGTCTGTTCAACCCAAACCCACATCCCCGAGGGTCTCTAAACCCCCAAACCCTTAAACTCCGATGGGTTCTCTCAGATATTTCGTGCCTGATCCATCTGGTCACGATCCAACTCACCTTCTGCGGCTGACAGGACCACTGCCGCCACACCATTGCCAATAAAGTTCGTGATGGACCTGCACTCCTCAGCTTGGTCGCAGCCCGTACCCGAAACACACAACCCTCTGCACATGGTAGATTTTCAGTTACTTACTACCCCAATAAGCCGCAGAAATAAAAGATTAAACTTTTCCATTCCTACTAGACAATAAGAGCCTAAAAAGTTTAAAGGTTAGGTATTGGGGACCTAAGGCGAAAGCGATGCACTCAGGTTTCAAAGTCTCCAGCTCTCTTGTTTTGCACAGTTTCTGGACTCAATCTTAGGCGACCGTACATCTCAGCCGGTGACCCCTGGCACGCGCAAGAGCTTGCTTAAAGGTTCACGGGACATAGTAACTTGGGTTGTAAAGAAGGTACCTATATACTTAGAAGTTTTTATAACCTTACTTAAGGTACTTATAACTCATAACCTTACTTACTAAGTCCCATGCCCCGGATCCCTTAATTTATTTTACAATTATACCTCAAATTATACAAGGATCCCTACTATGCTTTAAGGAATATGCCTTACGGGTTGTTGAAGTCTCTCGGAAGGCTAAGCTGCGGCAGCCCTAAACCATAAACTCCTAAACCCTAAACTCCTAAACCCTAAGCCCTAAACCCCAAACTCCTAAACCCTAAACCCCGAACCCTAAACCCTAAACCCTCAACCCTAAACCCTACACCCTAAACCCTACACCCTAAACCCTAAGTTGCTAGCTTTTCCGCGGTCTTCGAACAAAAGGGTTGAGCTCCATAGCCTGGTCTAGGGCCAGGGTGCCAAACGCGGTTTAGGAGTTTAGTGTTTAGAGGTTTAGGGTTTAGGGTTTAGGAGTTTAGGGATTTAGGGTTTAGGGTCTTGAAGTGTAGGGTTTAGGGCTGAGGGTTCAGGGTTTAGGAGTTAGGGTTTAGGGGTTTAGGGCTTAGGAGTTTAGCGTTAGGTTCCATACCGATCAAGAATGGAACAAACAGGGCATCATGCAAAACCCATCCAAAGTGGAAGCCAGAAAGTTGGAACATCATTGTCTCCGTGTCCTTATAGTAAAGCATTGGGAAATCCCAGTGCTAATCCTCAACCAGTTAAGCATTAGGTACTGCCCCCATACAGTAACAGTCTATAATGGGGCTACTATTAAGGTCATAATATGTCTAAGTCTATATTATGAGTCTATGATGGGGCTACTAGAAAGTTCCTAATATGTCCATATCTATGCTATGAATATCATTCAACTGTTACTGAGTGGGGGCAGTACGCAAGTTTCGCATGTTCCACCGGAGCTAACTGTAACTTAAAGGTACATGGGACTTCGTAACTGGGGTTATAAATAAGGTAACCATACTAATAGTTAGTTACAACCCCAGTTAAGGTACTTATAATTGTACTTACTAAGTCTCATGAACCTGCAGGAAAGCAACCTGCAGGGATCAGCTATGAAACAAATAGAAGCCGATGCAATGCAGAACCTTGAACGGTCGTACAGCGATGCGCAGTACAACATGATGAGCGAACACTCCCTAGATTAACCAATGTACATCCAATGTATATTAGATGAGAAGATATGGCAAAAACTGTACATATACTCTAAGGAAGGCTGATTCAGCATCAATTCGACGAACGTAAGCCCTAAACTCAAAACCCAAACCCTATGTGGGTGGTTCTCTGAAATTGGGTCCCCTTCAGGATCCTTTTCAATTCTAAGGGTGGCGCACTAGTTTCGGGACCTCAGACGAGGGGCCCTTACTTTAGAGAACTACGCATGTCTTCGACTCACCGATCACTCCAAGGAGCCCTAAACGCCACCGCAAATGGTGCTTCAGGGCTTACCAGCACACCCCAAGGACCCTTTAATGGAGCCCTTATGGTCCTTCATAGTGGGTGTTTAGGGTATCATAGAGGACAGCTGGGGGCTGCTGGTAGGGGTTTAAGGTTCAGGGTCTAGGGGTTACACACCATCTAGAAAGCGAACTCTTAATCCGGAACCTATATACAACTAAAGTATACTTTATAGTAACCTAATACTACGAAAACTAGGAATACTAGGAATACTACTAATACTACTGATACATTAACACGATAATACTACAATAGAACTAGAATACTGCAGAAGAGATCTACTTTTTGGATTCCCCCCCCCCCACCCTCGGACCTGGGTTTGCTACATGGTGCAGGAAAACACCATGTCCCACTTGTCGGGCATCATGGGCAACTAAAGGTTAACTTTTTTGGTCATAGTGGGATTATATAGGGACTATACTCCCCCCCAAAAAAGTTAAAGGCTACCTACTCTACTACTAGGCTATGAAAATCCATCATGACTTCTAGACCTAGGAATAAGCCAGGAATAAAAAGGATGCCCTTTTTGGTTTACAGGGGGTTATAAGGGAACCTAAACCCTCAAAAAGGGAATAAGGGCCTACTCTGGGTCCTAGACTTGTAGGAAAGGAACCAACGCCCTCGATCCCTAACCTGACCCTCAACCGCTAACCCTGAAGCTAGAAACCTGAACAGTAGCAAAACCCGAAACCCTATAGAACCCTCTTAAAGGAACCCTATGAAGCCCTATAGACCCCGTTTAAAGGAACCCCCTGTAGATCTCTTTGGAGGAACCCTAAAGCCCTCCTGTGGATCCATACCCTACAAAATAGTAGGTTGTGACCCCTTAATTAGAGGGTCGAACCCTTAAAACGGTAGGTTTTTGGATCCCCTGGAAAACCCTCTAGAGCCATTGTAGACCTTTATCACAACACTGCAACGCCTGGCATAGCCACATGAAACAAGTCTTTACAAAAGCCTGTCAGTAGCCTGGGCCTGTGCTGTCGAACCCCTGCCAACTCGTGCTCAACCCCTAAACCCCAAACCCTAAACCCCTAAACCTAAACCCCCTTTTAAACGAGAGTCTGCACGACCTTGCCTTGATATACTCGATGTTATTTTTTTTTTGGGGGGGGTCCCTATTATCAATATGGTAGAACATACCCCCAAAACTCTGTTCTAATTATGCAGGATCCTATATAACTCGGCACCAAGACGCTGACATGAATTTGTCCACGCCCAATACGAGGGCCATCCCAGGCACTAGCTCTGGGCTCATGGCACTCAAGGTGCTGGCCAGTGTGATGAACCTTGCCGTTTGTAAGGCCCCAAAAATTAAAAAATCACATAAGCAAAAATTGGGATACAGTTTTTTTTCATATAATCCAGCTTATAATGAAGCCCAATAAGGTAGGGATATCCCCATAAAATGCTTCTGCTTATGTGCTTTTTGGGTCCCTAAGTTTGGAGTCTAGGGCTCGGGATTTAGAGGGTTTAGCGGTTTCTTTTTTTTTGAACCCTCTTTTCTCCCCGCCTAGGTTAGGTTGGTTGAATGCCACAGGTGGCTGAGAGGGGTTTAGCGGTTTCAGGATTTAGGGTTGCTCTTTTTGTTTGACAGAGGGCTTGAGCGCGCGTTTAGGAAGGGGTTCTACAGGGTTTGGTCTCTTGCAGTGTCTTCTGCATAGGCTTAGTTTGCAGGTTTGGGTTGTGGGCGGCTTCTGCGTTCAAGTTCCCATAATATTTAAGAAAGAATACTAAACGGGATACTAAACCCTAAACCCTAAACCCTAACTGTGCACTGTGTTTCTTGTGACAAAGCTGAAGCCGTCGTGCTTAACCCTAGGGCTGAGCTAGCACCAGAAAAGGTTAACCTGTTCTCTTGTTCAATCAATTATGGTTGGATTATATTATATCAATATTATAACCCCAAAGGGTTACTTGTTACCCCTATAAACCCTTATAGCACCCTTATAGATCCCTTAAAGGAATCCCCCTTACATAAACCCCAAAAAGTTAATTAAAAGGTTACCTACGTAACCAATGTTCAGTCTCTGGGTTGTGGGGTTTCCGGAACTGGGTTTGGGGTTGCTGGGTGCCCAGAGATCCCGATACCCCTCAATTGAGAAATACATCTCAAATCAGAATATAAGGGCCTCTATAATTAAAGGTATACTCCTTCACTAAGGAATATACCATAAATCATAATATTAAGGCCTCTATAATTTAAGGTATATCCCTTAGTCAAGGGGCATTGGGTTCTCAGGGTGTGAGGTTAGGAGCATTGGCCAGAGAAAGTCACAGGCCTCAACTAGGATGCCCAGTAACCTAGGAATGAAAAGGGCTCCATTTTTGGTATTGGGTACCTTTATAAGGAACCTAGGACTACAAAAAGGGAATAAGGGTACTGCTGGGCATCCTAGTCAAAGGGTAGGACGAAGGTAGGTGTGGTAATCCCAAAACAAGAGTCCTTATACAAGGGGTCCTTTATCCTAACTATCTTCATCCCACCTTCGGAAGCCTCCGAGAGTAAGAAACTGTGTTTTCGTTTAGGCGGATTACTCGAGCCTTAGGTTTAACGGAGCTTTGAAGTAGAGTCATATAATGCGGTGCGATATTGCCGGCTAAACCCTAAACCCTAAACCCTAAACCCTAAACCCTAAACCCCAAAACCCTAAACCCTAAACCCTAAACCCCCACAGTACCAGCCAAGGAGCCCGGCACCTGACACGCCTGCAGCCCCCTTGGAGGTTAGCATCGCGACCGCCTCAGCTGCGCATCTAGCTGGACCCCGGTTTAAGTTTAGGGTTTTTTGGGTTTAGGGACTCGAAACCCTTACCCAAAGGGCTGAGGATTAAGGGCAAAACCGTAAAACGCCAGAGACCGAAACTCTAAGACCCTACCTGTAGCCCGAAACCCTACAACAAATGGGAGGTTTTGACCCTTGAATAGTAAGTTTCCGGATCCACAGGCAAGCCCCAGACCTTCCAAGATCCCTTAATTCAGGAATATACCTTAAATCATATTAGGGATCCTATTATGATTTAAGGTATATTCCTTAATTTAAGGGATTTTGGAAGGTCTGGGGCTCTAACACGCTAAAACCCCAAACCCTAAAACCCGAAAGCTCCAAAGCGCTAGCTCTGTAAGGCGAACCCTAAGAAAGCACCAAGAAACGAAACTCAGAACCATGGGCATCACAGGGTGGTCCGCTTGAGGAGAATAATACTGCTGATGGACAAAATCCTGCATTACTCATTATAAGGAATATACCATCATGCAGGATTTTGCCCATCAACAGTATCTCGGAATTTACATGGAGGGTCCTTCCAACGAGACGGGGCCCTAAACCTCTAGACCCCTCGAGGCCGTTTTATTTCACACCCACTAGGTCACTAGGTTCCCCAGTAGCCTTAATATTACGGGTACCCTTTTCTTAAACTCCAAGCCCAAAAAGAAAATTAGGCAAACTGCTGCCGAAGCTAGACCCCACAACCGTCAATGTCTGAGCCAGAAGCCACACAGAACCCAATAGCCCTGAAATAAGGAATATGGCGGGTGCATTCCTCATTAAGGGGTAACCTGCTGCGGTTTCTATATAGGACTTGGCGGCAAATTATGAAATTACCACGCACGAATCAGCCCCCCCCAGAGACTCCAATATCCCTTAAGGAATTAAAGAATGTACCTTCAATTACAGTAGGGTCCCTGATATGATTTAGGGGATATTCCTTGATTAAGGGATATTGGAGTCTGTGGGCCAGGCGAATCCCTGAATGCAGTGCCGCGTCGCAAGAAGGTTAAGCTGCTGCCAGAAAGAGAGCGGAACGTGCAGAGCTTGCGCGATGAAGAGCGTGACCAACGACCTGTTATTCAAAGGGGAAAAGAAGGGACCCTTAACTTAATGGGGACCCCTACCCTATAATGGGCTATAGAATGGGTATATACCAGCTATATTTAAGGGTATATACCTAGGGGTCCTTATTAAGGGTCCCTCCTTTTACCCTTGGAGTTAACGAATAACTTCCGAGTCAAAGCCATTAGTTTGTATGCCGTGGTGCCGCTGGTAAAACCCTAAACCCTATGCCCTACGTGGTACCTGTTGCTCCAAAGCCTACTACAGGTGGGTTTTCACATCCACAGGTAAGCCCTCACCCGCAAACCCCATACCGGGAAAAACATACGCACCCCGAGGCGGGGGGGATAAACCCACTCCCGAGAGGCCTTCGGTAAAACACCATACCACAATGCTTTCTTGTCTACACTTATAAAATATACTTGTAGGGTTTAGGGCTTAGGTTCTGTACTTCCCAGAGACTCCAATATCAAGTAATTAAGGAATATTCCTTAAATCATAACAAGGATCCTACTGGAGTCCTCTAAACCCTAAACCCCATAGATCCTTTAAAGCAGCCCTTAAGGATCCCTTAGTACTTGAAGGGTCAGCAAAATTCCTAATGCCCTCAATCCACGGGCTCGGGGAGGTTAGAGATTAGTCTGAGCCCTGAACCGGAAACCCTGAACCTTATAGACCCTAAGCCCTGATTTTCTTTAGGGGCCTCCATAAGAGGGATCCTTATGACAACTCCTATGAACAGAGGGCGGGTGCTGAGGGGTCTACTTGCTTGCACAAACTCGAAAAGCTTGTTTGGTCCCAAAGCCGTGACCCCTTGTGCCCTAAGCGCCATAGCTCTTAAAATAATACCGATCAAGACTTTTTGGTTTCCGAGTTTCACTAAGGTCGTGCCTGGGACTGGAGTTCGAGACAGCTCAAACGCACCACGAGTACGCCACAAACCCAAAAGCACGTCACCCTGTTCCCCAGGGTATCGTTCACTGTCACAAGCTCTATACACCCCAAAGCCTAAGAATACTATGAAACCTCTCCCAGTATAGGGTCCAGCCCCGAGAATAGAGGATTCCGGAAATCTTTCAAAACACAATATGATGCCCTTATCAGAGACTTTGGCTTCTAAATTGTAGATGCCATGTAGACCTTTACAAAGCCGGGCAACGTCGTTTAGAACCTGCTATATCCCTGTAGAACCCGATGAAAGCCCTACCAAACCCTTAACTGCATCCCCAAACCCTACAAAATAGTAGGTTATGACCCCTTGATTAGACGGTCTAACCCCTAAAACTGTAGGTTTTTGGATACCCAGGTAAACCCTAAAACCTAGACGCCAAAACCCTATAGATCCCTTATAGGAGCCCTTAAAGGGAAACCCCTGTAGAATCCTTGAAAGGACTTATCTCAGCCACGGACCGCTACAGCGATTCAACAGCGCACAACTTGCTCTGATTTGGGATAATGTGGTCAAGCTTCCGGCTTAATCAGCTGTCTGGTGCTTAGTAGGGAATGGGAGAGTGGGTTATGGGGACGACTATTGGGGACTATATAGGGACTACTATAGGGATCCATTCCCCCATTCCCTACTAATCTATACTGAACTTGGAACCCTAGCAAATAATATAATTTTTGCTGTTTCTTAGGGATTATAACAACCAAAAATTACAAATTATTTCTAAGTACCCCTAAGTATTTAAGCACCAGGGGGATGGTCTGAGGTTGTGGTGAGCGGAACTTGCGGTGCAATCTCAAATGGCCAGTTTGCATGCCCAAACCCCGATATACAGATTGTAGACGTCTCCGCTGTTGAGGAAATATATGCCCAACCATGCCGCCGCGCCACATGTAGGTGTTCGTGCCGTCGAGGTTGAAGGAGTAGCCTGAACCCAACCCCTCAACCCTAAACCTCCAAACAGACAAAGCCTTCCCTAAGGGTCCATGTACCCATATAGAGATACATGAGCCCCAAAGAACCTATATAGGGACTACATTAAGGACAATGTATGTACTATATAAGTGCATGGACCCTTAGGGTTTAGGAGTGTCGGGCTGCTGCCACTGAGCTGTCCAACTGCCACAGCAATCGACTTTTACCACGCCACACAAAACTTCATTAATATCTGAAGAAAGTCGTGCGTGGTGAATGGTGGGCGTCATTCTGACGCAACTATTGGCCAATCTTAGTGTTTAAGAGTTTGATACTGTTTAGGTGTGATAATTTGCGTGGTTTGCAATGCTGCTTAGGCTTCAGCCTTGGATTTTAGCAGAGTTGATTATCCTGACTAATTATTTTGTGCTAGACCTCCGGCTGCCAAATCTGAAACTATTCTAAAGCACAAACTCAACACCTCAAGTTTTTAGCGTAGGGACCGCAACATCTCTAAACCGGGCCGTTAAGAAGGGTCTAAATGGTGAAGAGTAGTGCACCCTATATCACGCTTGATCGTACTATTACAAGAATATTACCCCAAAACCATGACGCCCCAACGCCCGTGCCGCAAACCATGATCACTCACCCACTCCAGCACAAGGGGCCTGAACCCTAAACCCCTTTGTCCCCTTATGGACACCGTCTGGTTCTCCCTCCTACGCACCACACCCAGACCCTCCAACACCCCTTAACCTTAAATCATACAAAGGATCATTCCTTAATTATAGGATACTGGAACGTCTGGGAACCACGAAACCCTTAAGTACCCTCTTGGAACAGGGATCGCCGATGTTCCAACAAACCTTAGCCTTATCCTATATCGTGACTGTCAAGGATAAAGCAGACACTACATGGGCACGTGGACCCCTAGGGTCAACCTATAACCCCAAACCCTGCAAAATGGCAGGCTATGGCCCTTTAATTGTCGTGACTACATAAAGGATCATGGGACTTAGTAGTTGGGGTTATAACGAAGGGACGCATACTTATAGTTATTTATAAACCCGATTAAGGAAATTATAAGCTTACTTACTAAGTCCCATGATCCTCCAAGTAACCTTACCCTTGAAGGTTCTTGGACCCCGGGTCAAAGTTGCAATCTTCCTCTTCTTGCCAACGGGTGGCCCATGGGCACGACAAGTCCCACAATGCACGACGAGCAGCCAGCCGCCTCCAATTTCTCCTGATGGGTTCAGGCTTTAGGCATCCGATTTCGCCTAACGATTGGCATCTAGCTGGGTCTGGGTCGTCTACTTGGAGGATCATGGGACTTAGTAAGTTATAAGGTTATAAGTACATTAACTGGGGTTATATGCAATTATAAGCATGGTTACCTCATTTATAACCCCAATTACTAAGTCCCATTAACCTCTAAGTAGCTTGGGGTTTAGGGATCAAGGCTTAGCGTTGTCCGGATTAGGCTTTCAAGTTTTGCAGACCTATCGGTTTTCGGGCTTATAGTGTTTTAAGTTTAAGGCTTGCGCTCAAGGCTTCATTGAACTCATGGAGTGAAGCATGCAACCGTAATGGCTTAACTCACAAATCGCATGTGCACCATGGGCTTGAGAGCTTTAGGGCGCAAGGGGTGTAATTATGGGGGTTTTGGGGTGGAGCTTTGGGACAACATCTGCCAAGATTGCTCGGGACGCCCGGCCGGGTGCTCTTTACACGCATGCTCAAACCCTGAAGCCCAAACCCTGTCACCAAAACCGTCAAACACAGCAGCCGAAAAACCTTCCACCCAGAAACCCGAAGCCTTTTCAACCGCCGCAACACCCCTCAAACCTCCTGCCAGCCCAAGAAGTGAAGAAATAGTACCACTGATCAATCGGTCCCCTGAAGGCTTACAACGCAGAAGCCCTGATCTTGCCAACGACTACACCGAGGCCCCCAAGACACCCTGAGCCACCTAGGCAATCCACCTTACACTCAATTCTACACCCTACCCGACTTGTCCAGAATCCAAAAGGTTAAAGGTTACCTACTCTACGACCAAGCTAAATCCTAGACTTTAAGCCCTCACCCTAAACCGTAAACCCGAAACCCCAAACAACCGCAACAGCAGCAGAGACGTCGCTCCAATAAGGTCGGGAGAGCACTCTCCGAAGACGATGTGGCCAAGACCTGTCTCTTGCCAACTAGACCTAGGAATAAGCCAGGAATAAAAAGGATGCCCTTTTTGGTTTACAGGGGGTTATAAGGGAACCTAAACCCTCAAAAAGGGAATAAGGGCCTACTCTGGGTCCTAGGAGCTCAGCGAGTTCGAGGTTAGAGGCTCCTTTCCGGTTTACTAATTCATTGTTGGGAGAGGATTGAAAATGTACATTTCTATTCCTTATTGGGTTCAAGTACCCATAAAAATGTAAAATGTTACCCAACTATGACAGAGTTTAGGGTTGCCGGCTGAGGGTTTAGGGTTTATGTAGGACTTGGGTGGTTGTCAAAATTATGGTCCCTGTTTGAGTCCCTATTATAATACGCCACCTATTATTTAAGGTATCCAGAAAGGGACCATAATTTTGACAACCACCCACTTAGGTTTAGGGGTTTAGGGTTTTGAGGGTTCTTTTTAAGGCCTCCTTTTGAGTGGTTGCGGAGATTATCGGCGGCTTAGTTTGAAGGCAATGGGGCTGTAGGGACAATCCCTTCATCCGAAAACTTGTGGTGCGATTGCAAGAGTGTGCACCAGAACGTGTGAGTTGAGTGCCTCCCCCTCTCAGAGTTTACGTTTAAGATGGTGTAGGAATTATATTTCAGCATCAAGAACCTTGCCATTGCAAGAGGGAGTGTGGACGAGAATGTATGAGTTGAATTGACTGCAGGAACTGCAGCCGGCAGGGGCCACATGAACTACAAGTCCTCCGATGAAGTGCCAGCCCATGATTCAAGGCTTAGCGTTTAGTATCGTCTGACTCAACTCTAACCCTAGACAAACGGTTTAGGGTTAGAGGACCGTGAAACTCAAACCACAAACACAAAACTCTGAAGCCACAACTGCACACCCCAAGGCCCTGAGTTGTTAAACTCTCGGTGCTTTAGGATATCTAAGGCTCACGGGATTTAGGGGGTTCCGGGCTTAGAGTTTTAGGGTAGGGCAAGCGCCGATGCCCAATTTTGAACTCCATTAAGATAATTTGTCCCAGATGCCAGCAGCGAACGGATGAGACCCTTACAGGAATCCGCAACGAAACTCTCTCAGAGGAGCCTTTGAAGGAAGAAACCCTTAACAAGAACCGGCAAAGGAGCTCTTAGAGGAACCCCCCCAAAGGAGCCCTTGAAGGACCCCTCAGTGGAGCCCGTACCCTAAACCCCACCCCTAACCCCCTAAACCCCAAACCCCTAACCCCTAAACCCCAAACCCAAAACCCCTAAACCCCCAAACCCCAAACCCCTAAACCCTAAACCCCTAAACCCTAAACCCTAAACCCCTAAACCCCTAAACCCCTACACCCCTAAACTTCTAAACGAACCCTCAAAATGATTTGCTCCAGCTGCCAGGAGCAGCTCTTCCTTCAGGTACCACAGGAACCTTGGGTTTGCAAAAAGTTTCCCTATTTGGGGGATCACGGGACTGCAAAACTGTAGGGTTGCAAGTACCTTAAATTGGGGTTGTGTGTAGTTATAACTTGGCTGACTTCTGAACCCCTCCTAAAAGTTAAACTTTTAGCCCCCTAAATATAGTGTATATGGACACCCAAAAAGTTAAAGTTTAAAGAGCCAACCAGAAGAACGCCAAGATTGAGTGATGGAAACTGGGGATCTGCAGGGCTTCCCAGAGACTCCAATATCCCTTAATCAGGGAATACCTGGGGATCCAAAAACCTACCGTTCTAAGGGTCAGACCCTCTAATTAAGGGGCCATAACCTACTATTTAGTAGGGTTTGGAGTCACAGGTACTCCTTGAGTTAGAATAGGATCCATAATATGATTGAAAGAATATTGCCCCACCAAGGGGCATTCTTGCATGGTACTCGAATACAATCATGAGCAACTCGCGCCTGTCGCCCAGATACACAGAAGCCCAGCGTCCGGCCACAAGGTGACTGAGCGAAGGACTGCCAAGGACCTACAGAGCCCAATACCCCTTAATTAAGGAATATAGCTTTAATTATATGGGGCTTCATATTATGATTTAAGCTATATTCCTTAATTAAGGGGTATTGGGCTCTCTAGGGAAGTGCCGTCAATGCAGGCCTCGCCCTTTGAATTGCCGCTCTTGCTGGGACAGACATGCGGTGCACTGGTACAAGAACGCCAGAAGTGATCGAGAGGAGAATCTCGAGCCAAAACTGGGGCAGACCATCTTGCTCATGCAGGCTGCATGACTGCCGGGCATAGTCCGTATAAGCAACTCCCGGAGTCACGCGCCGGTGAGAGCAAGCCGAAATCAATCAGCAGGTGCAAACGACTTTCCGCTTTCGGAGAGTTTGGGTTTGGCATTGAGAAACCCAGACCTTCCAAGATCCCTTAATTAAGGAATATACCTTAAATCATAATAGGATCCCTAATATGATTTAAGGTATATTCCTTAATTAAGGGATCTTGGAAGGTCTGGGGATGGTGTGCCAGTGCCAACGAAACCCCAACCCTTGTCCCAAACCTTGGCCCTGACAGTCCCAGACCTTCCAATGTCCCCGAAGCAAAGAATATACCGCACATCCTGATAGGGAACGGTTTAGGGTTTAGGGTTTAGGGTTTTAGGGTTTAGGGTTTAGGGTACCATATTGAAGGTATACTTGTAGCCCCGAAGTGTACAGAATCAGGATTCCTTGCCGAATTGTCCGGTATCCTTGGCAAGCGTAACTGCAAGGTTAGCTTTTAAGAGTACAATGGGTTTATATGGGGATTATGGTACCCCAAAAAACCACATGTTACCTCCTAAACCCTAAACCCTAAACCCTAACCCCTAAACCCTAAACCCTAAACCCTAAAACCCCTAAACCTACTCTCCACTAAAATTAAACAAGGGGCACTGGAAGCTCTGTGCACGCGAGGCTGAGGGAGATCCAAGGGCACCCGGCACCCGCTTTCGATTGATTTCAGGATACCACTATGGGCTATTAGACCTTAAGGGTTTAGGGTTTAGGGTTTAGGGTACCTTAATCAACCCTTAATAGGGTCCTAATAGGGATCTTTAGGGTCTAATAGCCCATAGTGGTACTTGGGGATCAAAAAACCTGTACCCTCTAGGGTTTAGGGCTTAGGGTTTAGCGCTTAGGGCTTCGGGTTTAAAGTTTATCATGGAAATAAGGGGGGCATAGCCTACTATGTGGTAGGGTTTGTGGTTACAGGTACAGCCTGGAGTTAAGCCACTCTTATGATGAGAGCCTTGAAGCAAGTAGGCAAAGGAGGGTTTAGGGTTTTAGCTCACGATCCGGCACCCTAGCCTCAAAACCCGAAATAACCATCATGGAAACCCTTAACTGAACGCTACCTGTAGCCCCAAACCATACAATTACAAAATAGGAGGTTCTCATCTCGCAATCATCGTAGGTTTCCGGACCCACAAGTGAATCCCAAACCCTCTCTGAACCGCTACCTGAACCCTATAAGCCTAGATCTCCTGAGCCCTCAACTGTGACTAGGATACCCAGTAACCTAAGAATAAAAAGGCCTCTCTTTTTGGTATTGGGTAACTTTATAAGGAACCTAGGACTACAAAAAGGGAATAAGGGTACTACTGGGCATCCTAGTAAGGGTTGTCCTAAACCCTTCTATGGTAAATTATGGGGTATTTTAGCCTGAAACCATATTCCAACTTTCTGGAGTTCCCTTTAAGCCCTAAACCCTAAAGATCCCTTTAAGGAACCCTATAGATCCCTCTAAGGAACCCTATAGATCCCTTTAAGGAACCCTAAGCCCTCAACTGTGAACTCAACCACCCTTAGAGGGGCCTAAAGCATGCGGAGTTTTGAGCTTCCTATAGTAGAAGCCAGAAAGTTTGAACCTCATTGTCCTCATAGGGTTTAGGGTTTAGGGTTTAGGGTTTAGGGTTTAGGGTTGCAAGGTAGAGGTAATCCTAGCACTACCTGTGACTCCAAACCCTACTAAATAGTAGGCTATGACCCCTTATTTAGAGGGTCTGACCCTTAAAACGGTAGGTTTTTGGATCCCCAAGTAATCCTCCTAAAGCCATGTTCCAACTTTCTGGCTTCTACTATACAATGAAAATGAAGGAGCCTCAGGCTTACACCTCCGGTTTCGGGTGTGGGGGTTTAGGGTTTTAGGGTGATTTCAAGTTAGGGTTTAGTTGTTTAGGTTTTTAGGGTTGCGGAGGGTGAGGGTTTAGGGTTTGGGGTGTTTTGGGGTGTTTTAGATTTAGCGTCAGGATTTAATTAACTGTTTAACGTCGTGGATTTGAAGTTTAGGGAGTATATACTGAAGCGAACCGAACCACTCCCTTCTCCACACCCTGCAAGAGCTTTGGTTTCAGTGTCAAAGGGCCCCAAACCCTAAACCCCCTAAGCCCGAACCAAGACCTTTAAACCCTAAACCTCGCAAGCTCTCCTCAGCCGACAACCCCCCCAAACGTTCAGTCCTCTCGCTTTATAACACGCCAAACCCTAAACCTCAAACTCCAAGCCCGAACCGAGGGGCCATAAAAAATTCGAACAGGCTTTTGGTGTAGTAGCTTGTCGTATAGTCAAAATACGGGACCCTAAGGAATACTATGGGTACTGTTTCAAACTGCATGCATTCAGCCCGCAACCGCTGCACCCGAACACAAAGTCGAAGCCGTGTAGATCCCTTATAGAGAGCTTCTATCAAGCTCCTACAGACCCTCTAAGAAACCCCTATAAATCCCTTATGAAACCCATTATCATAAAGACACCCTAAACTCTAAACCAAAACCCTAAACCGTTAAAGAAACCCGTACAAGAATCCATAACTCTGCACTGCAAGTGGCCGGAAGATGTTGACGCGCGCACACGCTGCCACCGAACCCAAGACCTCGAACTCTGAATACCCTAAATCCTAAACCCTAAACCCCTAAAGCCCTAAAGCCCAAACCCCCAGAACCCCTAAAACCCTAAACCCCTAAACCCTGAATCGCTGGGTTCGGGGCGCCTTGGAGGGTTCCTTCAAGGCTTCCTTAGAGGCTTCTATAATATGGTTCTACAGGGACACCATAGGGTTCCTTAAAGGGTTCCTTGAAAGGGTTCTGTAGGGGTAGCTTTTTTTGTTCCTCAAAGGCCTCCCGTGAAGCAGAGTCTTTCTGCAGACTTGTTCAATGGGGCTCGAATCTAAGACGTACTACCCCCAATAAGCCACGGAAATGAAAGGCTAAAGTTTCCGATTCCTACTGAACTATAAGAACCCCAAAAAATTGAAGGTTTGGTATTGGGGGATCTAAGGAACCTAAGACTTCTGATCAGAAGGGCGCTGCAGTTAAACAGCATACTAACCGTTTGAACTTTAGTCGCAACAAAAACAGTGCTAGCAATGCATTTTCCAGTAATACTCAGAAGAAGACAGAACAAATCGCAGTCCAAGAACAAACAGTGAGGTTATGCACATTACACTACTACTACGGTTGATGATATAAATCCTGCATTACCTTAAGGACTCGTAACTGTGGGAATTATGGTATATTCCTTATTGGGTGATGCAGGATTTATACCATCAACCGTAGTAGTATCAGGTTTAGGGCTTTTGGCTCCGGACCTCTATACTTGCCTTAGTCGTTCTACACTGGAGCACGTTCACAAGTAGGCCCTCAACAAGGCGAGTCCATTGTCAGAGGCTCCATGTACCTTTATAGTAGATACTTACGCCTTTAAGGGGTCCCTATATAGGTACTTTGAGGCCTAAGTAGATACTATATGGGCACTTGGAGCCTCAGAGATTGTCCTGCTTGGAGATTCATGAATCTTAGCAACCTAAAGCGCTCCTTGAAGTTTCACAAGGGTTTGAACGGGTTTCTATAAGGGTATTATGGGGATGGAACTGAGTCAGTACAGTCATAAGTACCCTATATGGAGTTATAAGTAAATATCCGTACAGCTGCCTCAGACTAGGTAAACCGTACATGAACTTTGAAGTGCCGTCCAGTGTTAAAGGGTGGAACCCCATATGCAAAAAAATGGGACGGGGCCCTCAACCCCAAACCCTAAATTCGTGAGCCTACCCTGACCCTGAAATCGGGTAATTACCTTCTTTTGGTTACTTTACTTTCTTACTGGTGGAACGACGCTAGCTACAGAACAGGCTGTCCAAATCCAGGTAGTACAAGCATGCAACTTCCGACCGAGGAGCCAGCACCACGAAGCAAAGGCTGGTCAGATAGAAAGTAGCGACCAGCAACAAGAGGTTGCCTCAAGTCAAGGATTTCCGAAACCCTGCCGTTCTCAATGTTCGAGACTGCATAAAAGGGCTCATAACCCCGGCCCTAACCTTCCTGAAGCCATAGAATGCAAATGCACACCTTTTTTGGGTTATATTTCTCTATACTGAACTTAGAACCCTAGCAAAAATTATAATTTTAGCTGTTTCTAGGGATTATAATAACCAAAAATTAAAATAATTATTCCCATTTACGCCCAAGTGTTCTTTAGAACCACCCGAAACCCGAAACCGTAGTGTAGATCCTTTAGGAAGTCTTGGCTTGGCGGTGGCCTGAAACCTATACAGAGTAAGTACAGTAGAGGCCAGAAAGTTGGAACATCATTATCCTCATGCCCTTGAGGTATAGTATAAGGGATCCTAGCACTTTTCCTTCTAAACCCATGTTCCAACTTTCTGGCTTCTACTATAAGGTTCCAAGCACCTCTAATCGGGATAAGAAGCAATGACAATACTATAACGAGCGTTTTTACCCTGTTGATAGGCTCACTTGCTCAGTCCGACAGTCATAGGTACTTACCGTAATTTCGGCTATACGTACTTTGAAACGTAGTTACCATATTTATAGCTGGTGTCGCAGCCCCATAACACCTACAGTAAACCCCATAAAGTTGGAAACAGGATTAAGGCCAAACTGTGCCGGGATTCCCTATACATTACTCTTAAGGATTGAGGCTATTGGGTTTCCAACTTTTGGGCTTCTACTGTATAGACCCCCTTAAAGAGCCCTTAAAGATACTGAGTCCCCGTAAACTGCTGAGGAACTCTGAGCCTCAAACCGGGACCTTGCTTGGATTCTAAAACCTCGAAGCCCTACATTAAAAGAGCCCCTACCCCTAATCTCCAGAATCCCTCGAAACCCTAAACCCTAGACCCCTCAACCCTAAACCCATAGAAACCGAAACACATGGTCCCACAGCCTTAAACTGATCTTGAATACTTAGCCGCGGTCGGTGCTTCACAGCGTCTTCGCAGGCTTTGGTAGGGCTGTAATAATATTGGTAAGTAACTATGTAGGCTGATGTACTACTTACAACTTGTACCTCCAACCCTATACCGACAGAGGCTCACCCTACCCTACCCGTTGCTCAGGATACCTAGTTTTATGCTTGATCAGTTGTATGGAACAGTAGATATCCTAAAAAAGGGTTAGCATATGAGCCTATAGGTAAGCCCCCTATTAACAACCTTGCAAGAATCTTGCACAATCCTCACAGAACCCTTTACACCAAAACAACGACCGAATCGAATTTTAAACAAACCATTCTGCAACCCTGCAGACCTCCAAAGTCCTCCGAACCTGCAGAAGAACCCTGAAAGGAACCCTTTAGGAAATCCTAGAACCGACGAGAGGAAGGCTCTGTGTTTGGGGTCCTTTGAGAAGGGTAAGTGCGGTTTCAACCGCAAACCCTCAACGGATCTTGCACATACAGCAACACTGCACTTGTGATTATGGAACAACCCTGAAAGCCCTAAACAAACCCCAAAAGGAACCGTAACCCTAAGACCTAAACCCTGGAGCCTATACACAATACCACAAGTCGGAACCAAAAAATACCACAACATGAAAAGACGGAAGGAAGGCCTCTGGGTTTTATCACCCCAAAACCCTAAACCCAAAGCCATGAACTATGAAGTAGACGCTATACCCTGGAGCCTCAGAGGGAACCCTACTATAGAACCCGACGGCACCCTGACGACGAACCGAAGCCAGAAAAGGGGACGCTTGGAAGGCCTAACCCCTGAACTCCAAACCCAAAGCCCCTGCCCTAAACCCCTAGACCCTAAGCCCCCAAAACAGAAACCCCTAAATCCCAAATCCTAAACCCAAATCCCCTAAACCCCTAAACCCGAAACCCCTAAACCCTGAAAGCCCCAAACCCAAAGAGTCCAAGTATCATGATGGTATATACCTAGACCCCCCAAAATACCCTGTAAGTATATAATATAATGATACGTGGACCCGTTGGGAAAGCGAAAAACGCGACCCCCAGGAAGGCCCTTATCCTAAACCCGAAACCCCTAAACCCTAAACCCCTATAGAACCCTTTTAAAGGAAGCCTATGAGCCCCTATAGACCCCTTTCAAAAAGCCAAAACATGCGATCCCCAGGGAGGCTAAGAGACCCAAAAAGCACATAAGCATAAGCATTTTATGGCCTTATTGGGCTTCCTTTTAAGGGGGCTTATATGGGATATTTTTGCTTATGTGCTTTTTTTGGGGGCCCTCGGGAAGGCCCTTATCCTAAACCCGAAACCCCTATAGAACCCTTTTAAAGGAACCCTATGAGCCCCTATAGACCCCTTTCAAAAAGCCAAAACATGCGATCCCCGGGAGGCCTAAAGTGCCGATGCCGTACTTCCCCACGGTGTAGGCCATGGCCCCGAAAGCGCCCAGGGGCGCCACTTCTGAGTTCAGGGGCTCCCGGGTTTCTCACTTGGAGGGTCGGGGGACTTAGTAAGTAGTTATTTTATAGACTTATAAGTATCATAACCCCAATTAGGCTCCCTGTTAGGGTACTTATAAGTCTACTTATTACCTACTTACTAAGTCCCCCGACCCTCCAAGCAGAGACTCCAGTAGCCCTTTAAAGGGATCTATAAGGGTTCCTTTAAAGGGATCTAGCAGGGTTCCTTTAAAGGGGTCTTTAGGGATTTATAGGGTTTCTCAGAGACTCGAATAACCCGTAATCTAGGATGCCCAGTAACCTAGGAATAAGAAGGGCTCCCTTTTTGTTATCGGGTATGTAACTTTCTTAGGAACCCAGGACTACAAAAAGGGAATAAGGGTACTACTGGGCATCCTAGAAATAAAGGCATATTCCTTAAATCATATCAGGGATCCCTAATGCTATGAAGATATATACTTTATCAATTAAGGGATACTGGAGTCTCTCCGCTAAGAGGTTCCTTTGGTGGATCTATAAGGGTTCCGTTTAAGGGCTCCTCTAGTGGAGTTTCGGGGGGGGGGGGTCGCTTTCATAGGTTCCTTATCGATGGTGCCAAGAGGTTTGGGGATCCTCATGTTGCATGTTTGGGGCTTAGGGCTGAGTCAAGGCTCTCGGAATCCTTTTTAAGGGGGTTCCTTTAGGGCTCCTTTAAGGGTTCATAACTACCATATGCGGATCCTCTCGAGGGGCTCCTTTAAGGGTGCCGAAAGGGTACTTGTAAGACATTGTGAGGGCTCGTTTAAGGGCAGGGTTCAGGGCTCCTTTAAGGGGAGCGTTTAGGCTTCATTGGGTTCTGGAGGAGTTTGAGGGCTTAGGGCTGAATATTATCGCCTCTAAATCCGAAACCCTACTTTTCTCTGGGCTAAGCCAACAACTGCAGAGAAAGTCGCGACCTACTATTTTGGAGGGCTTGGTTGGGGGCTTAGGACTTATGTAAAACGCATCCTCACGCCACAAAACGCGGAACCTCGGACACGAAAGCCCCCGCTGAGGCAAGCGATGGCAAACGTAACAAGTCCTGACTAGGTTCCCCAGTAGCCCTACATATTATGAGTGTACTCTATTTCCTACTATCTAGTTTCAGTGAAGGAAGCCAAAAGTTAAAAGAGAAAAGGCAAAAGGGTACCAATTGCTGGGAACCTAGCTCAAGATTGGCCGGAGCTCTCATGACGATCCCAATGATATTGAAGAAGCAGTGTCCCAACTCCTCGATGCTCGTTAGCACCTCGTCGGCCAGGATTCAGGAGGGAACTCTAAACCACTAAACCCTATAAACCCTGAAACCTGAACCCTAACCCACTTGGAGGTTCGGGGGTTAAGCCTGCGGTCCTTTTGGCTTAGGGTTTCATTTTGACTCCAAGTACCGGCCGCTTGCAGAGTAACACCCTAGGAGCCAGGGGTACCAAATATGTTGCATTTCCCCTAAACCCTACATGTAGCCCCAAACCCCACAAAGCAGTAGGTAATGACCCCTTAGTTCTATGCTCTAACCCTTAAACCGGTAGGATTTTGGATCCCCAAGCAAACCCTAAACCCTAAACTCCAACACCCCATGGATCTCGTATAGGAGCCCTCAAAGGGAAACCCCTACAGAATCCCTTTAAAGGAGCGTTTAAACCCCAATCCAAAACCTTCAAAACCCCCAGGCAAACCCTAAGCCACACGGAACTGCAAGGGATTCAGGCGCCCTAGGTTCCAGAGTTGCCCGGAGACTCCATTATCCCTTAATTAAGGAATACTCCTTAAAATATAGTAGGATCCCTATTAAGGTTTAAGGCATATTCCTTAATTAAGGGATATTGGAGTCTCTGGGTGTAGAGTGAACCCCCGAAAGGTTGGAACATGGATTGAGGATGATCAGTGCTGGGATCCCCTATACTTTACCTTCAAGAATTATACTGGGGATAACTGATATGACTTAAGGAATCTGCCTCATTACGGGTGATTGGAGTCTCTGAGAACCCTGGCGCCCTGAACTCAGAGTGATGTTCCAACTTTCTGGCTTGTACTGTAGGTCGTAAGTGCAGGATGGCTCCTTTCTGCGGTGTCCTCGCAGGGCTCGAAGACTGGTTTAGGGTTTAGGATAAACTGCAATCTCCCACTCATCATACTTACTTGGAGGGTCGGGGGACTTAGTAAGTAGGTAATAAGTAGACTTATAAGTACCCTAACAGGGATCCTAATTGGGGTTATGGTACTTATAAGTCCCCTAAAATAACCAGTTACTAAGTCCCCCGACCCTCCAAGTAGGCCTTAAAAAGTTCAAAGGCTAGGCCTTTTAAACTCCACCTGTAGCCCCAAACCCCACAACATAGTGGGTAATGAACCCTTTATTCCTGGGTCTAACCCTGAAAACGGTAGCTGTTTGGATCCCCAGGTAAGCCCTAAACCCTTCAACCCCAAACCCCGCAAGGGGACCCTGTCCTATAGATCCCTATAAGGACCCCTAGAAGTAAACCCCGCAAAAGCGCCGTCTTCGATTTCTCCCCAGCAAAGAGGAGGGCAAAGCCGAAGAGTATGGACACGAAGAGGACCTCGACAATAGACTGAAAAGGCTTAGGATGGTTTAGGGTTGACGGTTTTTGGGGTTTGTGTGATTACTTTGGGGCTTTAAGGTTTAGGGTAGTTTTTGCACAGGGATGCTAGGCTGGATCATGGTACCCTAAACCGGTTAAACGCTACCTGCTCTACGACTCGGTAAGAGTTTTGTGGATATTGACAGGGCGATCTTTCTTGGAGGTTCGCTTGCTAAGGATCCTACTGTCTATGAAGAACTGCTTGAACAACCATTTTCGGAAGCTCCCAACCCTAAACCTCAACTGCAGTCCTAAACCCCACAATATTAGTAGGGTGTGACCCCTTGTATGGCATCGAATAACCTGAACCGGAAAACCCAAACCAAATCCCTTGCAAAAACACGGAACAGGGCCACGCCTGCAGAATGTCACCATTTGCAAAAGGGCTGGCAACCTGAGTGGGGCATGTGCTTGGCTGTTTGACGAAAGCCTGCTTTAGTTGCCATTCGGATTTAGGGGTTTGGGTTCACAGGCCGGGATTCGGTGGTTGAAGCTTAGGAAGGGCGGTGGTCCATCATATGAGGGATGCTACTTTCAATACAGGCGGATTCTTCAATGATTAAGGGATTTGTTGAAAATACGGGTACACATGCCGTGCTTGCGTTATCTGAAACCTTTGTAATAGTAAAAACTCGGCTAGAGAGTGTTAATTACAGCACCCTTATGGAACCCAGACTAGCAGCGATCCTACAAGAATCTAAGCAATATTCCCTAATTACGGGCTATTGGAGTCTCTAAGAACCCTTACACAAACCCCAAACCAGCGAACCCCGTAGACTCGTGCGCCTGGGAACCCGACAACAATGTAACAAAAGACCGAAGTCCTGCACTTATCACGGACTTCTCTTCAGGGATCTATGCGGGCTTAGGGGTTTAAGGCTTAAGGGTTTGAGGGTTTAGTAAAGGGTTTTTGCGGTTAAGGTTTAGAGGACATTATACCCCTACTTGTCCAGTATCCTTGGCAACTAAAGGTTAACCTTCAAGAGTATATTGGGATTATAATACCCCCCAAAAGGTTAAAGATCACACACTCTACTACTAGCCCCTAAGCTCTAAGGACTCATATTTTAAGGTTTTTGGGCCCGAAGACCATACTATATAAGGCCTTCGGGCTACTTTAAGCCTTGGGTGCCCTAAAACTAGGTTGCCCAGTAACCTAAGAATAAAAAGGCCTCTCTTTTTGGTATTGGGTAACTTTATAAGGAATCTAGGACTACAAAAAGGGAATAAGGGTACTACTGGGCATCTTAGAAAAGGAGACAAAGTCTCATGCCGGGGCTCCGTATCTGGGATGATGTGCATGATGAAGCGCATCGGGCTCTCGCCTGGAGCGTGCTTGGAGGATCATGGGACTTAGTAAGTATGGTTATAAGTACCTTAATTGGGGTTATAAGTATAGTTACCTTAATAATAACCGTAATTACTAAGTCCCATGATCCTTTAAGTGGCAGCTTTGGATTCCTTTTGAAGCTTCGATTTAATGAAGGGGGCCTTAATACTTAGACGAGGGTTTTGGGGACCCATTATACTACAATAATAATGAAAAAAACACCAGAATAATTAGTAGAGGTAACTATTAATTAAGGCCCCTATCCTAAACCCTACGCCCTAAAGATCCCTTATAGATCCCCTAAAGGAACCTTTAAGGATCCCGCTAAAGGCCCCTATCAGGCTCCAAGTGTCTCTTTGGCCTCACCTAATGCTCCAACCACCTGCTTTCGGGTTTAGGGGTTTAGGGGTTTACGGTTTAGGGTTAAAAGTTTAGGGTTTAGGGGTGTAGGGGTTTATGGGTTCAGGGTTTAGGCTTGAAAGTTTAGGGTTTAGGATCAAAATAGCTCAAAAGCCTTATGTAGTATGGTCTTTGGGCCCAAAAGCCTTAATAGATGAGTCCTTAGAGCCCTAGGGATATACACCCATAATTAAGATGGCATGTTGTATATTGTAGTATCCTTAAGGGAGGGGGCTCCAAGGGGGGTATATAGCCTAGTGATCCCTAACTCCCCCTAGTACTCCCTAAGGTTCCTCTAAGGATTCCTTGTACCCTCCCCCCTTGAACCACCCCCCCTTAAGGATCCTATAAAATCCCTTGCAGCCCTTGACCCGAAACTCAGATTAGGGTTTAGGGTTTAGGGTTTAGGGTTTAGGGGTTTAGGGTCAGATTACACCCAGAATGACATGAAGCTGGGTCATCACTTGGAGGTTCATGGGACTTAGTAAGTACAGTTATAAGTACCCTATTTGGGAATAGAAGTGCATATAAGTGTAGTTATCCTGAATATGATCGTAGTTACTAAGACCCCTGAACCTCTAAGCACCTAGCTCTAAACTTGACCCTTCCCTGATCCCTAATCCCTAAACCCGAACCCTGTGACAACACCTACGTTTCACTGAACCCTGTGACAACACCTATTGTTCACTTGTCCTGTGTCAACCCACCCGTGTGATTTCTTTAACTCCATAAAAGGGTTGCGCTGGGATCAGGGTTTGGGATTGCTTAGTCATCCGCAACCCTACCAGAAGCGCTGCACAACCTGTCTTTGAAACCTCAGAAACCGCTGGAAAGAGGTCTCCAAACCTCTCCCTAGAGCTTGACTTCGTCCAAACCCCAGTACCGTGGAACACGGAATACCCTAAACAACCTAATACCCCTAAGCATCCCAGAGAGCCCATAACCCAGCAGGGAATATCTCCTAAAAACATATGATGAAGCCGTCTATAGTTTACGGTATATTCTCCCTAAGCCCTAAACCCTATGGATGTTGCCTGATACCGCTTTAGGTGCCCATGCTAACCGCCTGAGAGATCTAGCATAGTCGCCCTTCTCGAACCCTTTTAGAGCCCCGTAAATTAGCCTCAGAGGAACCCTTATAGAACCCTTCAAAGGAACCGCTTAAGGGTACCCTTAAAGGAACCCTTATGGAACCCTGTCAACGCAACCCCAAAATCAAAAGGCCCAACTTCCTGGTCCTAGCCAGGCATCTCTCAGCTTTGCTGACGTACTTTTCGATGGCCGAAGCATCCTCGGGCAGCGGAACTTCGAAATAACACCCCTATGAAACCATGTCGGTTTAAGGTTTAGGGGTTCGGGCTTTGCTGTAAGTGCAACGGGCTTTTCGAGCATCCCCGGCAAGCCCACCCTCTTTTCGGGTGCGCACTCCAACCTGACAACTCCACTTTCACAAACTGGTCCCAAAGATACCTAGGGGCACCCACAGGGACACTCGATGACTCGAGGATACGAAGCCTATATACATATATATATATATATATATATAGACATACACGCATATGTATGTGTATATATATATATATATATATATATATGTTGCATTTTTCTTTTTGGACGGACTTCACAGCTGATACTATGTCTACACATGGTGGTAAAAGCAGTTGACATCAACAACTGCAGAGACTCCGGCTGGGCATCAAAGTTCTTTCCAGGCTGGACGATGTTGCCCACCAGTAGGCCCAGCGCCAGAGCAAAGGTGGAAATCGTCTCGAAGTATAGCAATGCCTGTGCACTTTACTTCTATAAAGTGACTATACCATACTGTATACGTGCTATGCAGGTACGAGTGGATCCTTAGAGAATCTAATGAACACGGCCATCCCGACTAAACGTGTGAAGGCACGTGTTTCAGGCTTGCAGGGTATCTAGGCAATGATTTCTTTCTTCTGTGCCGCTGTTTGATGCTGGTGGTTTGAGGCACTTGCGGTGTAGGATACCCAGAGACTCCAACGTCCCTAAATTGAAGAATAGGTACTTCAAAATCATATTAGGGATCCTGCTTTAACTTAATCTATATTCCCTGTATATTTAAGGGATATTGGAGTCTCTGACTCTAAGTTCACCGAAATCCTCACCGCCCTGCCTTTATCGCCACTCCACCCACCTTTGATGCGCTGCCCACATGGCAGATCCCTGGCACCATGGTACAAAAGATGATGGGCGCGATGACCTTGGCAGGGAACCCGCCAAGCACCTGAACAATAACAGTAACACTAATAGTACTAATCATAAATGTATTAGTAATAGTGTTAATAACAACAAAAACAATAGTAGTAGTAATAATAATCATCATAGCCGCAAGGTTGGGATTTTCCATATCCCCTCCCTGTTCTCGTGGGCAAACAAGGACATCTCACCCCAACAAGTTTATGTTCGGGTGTTGCTTTGGTTCCTGACTTAGCTAGGCGCGCCGAGCTCAATCTGACAACTTGCGGGCTTCGCCTGTGGATTCGAAAACCTTTGCAGAATTTCTTAAGAGGTCATAACCTATACCCTAAACCCGAAACCCTAAACCCTAAACCCGAAACCCTAAACCCTAAACCCTAAACCCTAAACCCTAACGGGCTTCAGGAACTTACGATCCCCGACCTGATCTCTAATCACTTGCTTCTTTGGCACAGGATGACCTGAAAAGCGATATCTGAACAGCTTAAACCCTAAGGCCTAAACCCTAAGCTCTGAACCCTAAAGCTCTAAAGCCCTAAGAGCTTTGGGTTTGGGGCGTCGGTGAACGGACAAATTCAACAACTTACAACCCCAGAAATCCACAGAAATGAAAGGTTAAACTTTCCGATCCCTACTAAACTATAAGAGCCCAAAAAGTTTAAAGGTCAGATATTGGGGATCTAAGCTATTGTCAGTGTTTCTCAAGCGAAGCCCGGGTCTACCCGGCAATCAATGTGTAAACCCTGAACCCCAAACACATAATGTAGGAACCTGATTAGAAACCTTGGGCCTTTGTTAGGGTTCCTTATATGAATCCTACTATGTTGGTGTTACAGGCCCAGGGTTTCTTAATCAGGTTTCTACATTAGCCCCTTAACCCTAAACCCTGCACCCCTAAACGCTAGCTAAAACCTATACTCTGAACCCCGAATGCATAAGCACCATTGCAAATTTATTTAGGATGTACATACGGTTGATGATATAAACCCTGCATTACCCATAATATATATATATATATATATATATACAGGTATATACAGACACACCATAATTCTCATAGTTTAGGGTTCTTAAGGTAATGCAGGATTTATATCATCAACAGTATGCAACAACCCTTCCGTATGCTATGCCATATCCAGAACTCTTCCCCCAGGAACCCCCCCAGTCCCCATGAAAACCCCAAACCCTAGCCCCACTCCCTTAACCATAAATCCCATACCTCACACCCGGACAAGACCTAACTTACACATATATAGCCCCTTAATTTTCAAAGCTTGCACTAACCATGCTCGCTCGGGGTGGGTGCTTGCAAAATGTTTGGGTGCTCGCTCGTTTGTCTGCGCCAGCTGCTTGTTTGCATGAGGCGTGCTGCGCAAGCGAGCGAGCACACAATTATGATAGAAGCACGCACCTCGAGCCAGCATGCATTGGATTTTTATAGAATCTATATAACAAATCCTAAACACCTCTACGGCGAGTCTGAGGCCTCAAAAATGTATCGTTTTTGCATGCTCGCTCGGGGAGGGTGCTTCTAACAGTTTTGGGTGCTCGCTGGCGCATGTGCGCTGCTCCGGCGCGCGTGTCGGAGCGAGCTCCACAATCGAGCGAGCACGCAATTGTGTAGGAAGCACGCAACTCGAGCGAGCATGGCTAGCGAAAGCCTTGGTTAATCTCTGATGAATCCCACGAAAACCCCAAACCCGAAACTGCAAATTCTGAACCTCAAGAAGATGCCGCTACCGTACAAAACCGTAGGATATGCCGCCTTAAAACGGCGTAGAGCCCTTAACCTGACAGGTAAACCCTAAACCCCTAAATCCTAAACCCCTAAACCCGAAACCTTTTGGATCCCCAGGCAAGCCGAGGCAGCTACCATCTTGATAAGCTTCACAAAACCCGTCCCCAGCTGGGACATCCATGGCTGTGATGCGACTTCGGGCCACCTGAAGCGGATTCCTTAAAGGGATCTATAGAGTTTAGGGTTTAGGGCCTAGGGATGGTGTCTAGCTGCTCTAAAAGACTTCACGACGGGTTTTACATGTTTTATTAACAATTATCGGGCTTGTGTAGGGGTTTGAAGAGTTTGATAGGTAGCTTTAACAAGACTTGGATAACTGGCTTTGAAAGGCTTTGCGAGGTTCTTGTAATGTGTGTTCATAGTTCCATCTCGGCTGTTCATCACCCTACACAAAACAAAACTCATGACCCTACACAGGACTGCACCAAACCAGAATTCGAAAATTTCGGCTTAGCCACTTTAAGTGTTCTGACCTTAGGATGTTGGTCGATCGAGTGCCTTGGGTTAAGGGTGGCCGGGCATGCTGGCGCTACGAAACCAAAATTGGATATGTGGGAACAGTTTGCCACCGCAGGCAAACGATGAATTTCTGAACAGCTGCTTGAACCCCGAAAAACCCTACCATGTGAGGGAACCAAGCTCCAAACCCTAAATCCTTAACCCCAAATGGGGCAGCTCTTTAGGGTTCGGGTAGCCCACCCCTGCTCTCAGAAATTATCTTACTACCCAATAAGCCACAGAAATGAAAGATTAAATTCTTGAAATTCCTAAAAAACTATAAGAACCCACAATGGTTAGGTATTGGGGAACGAAGTTATACGACTTGAGATTGAGGGCATTAGGTTGAGGATGTGAAGCTGAAGCCAAGGACGTTTGTTCAATTTTCTTAACGGTTCCGGTGCTGACAGCCATTCGTTAGAAGGATTCCTCGTCTGGCTCCCCGTTAATGATTCACATTATCATGGGTGGCTCCTTTTCACGGTCATTGGGGATGTCAGTGTACCCACGCATGGCCCAGAGGCACCATTTTGAATTTAGGGTCTAGGGTTTAGGGTTTACTAACATCTCTTTGATGCATCTGGCCATGGAAGCTTTCCATCTATGATGGGTCTTCGAGTAGTCCTGAGTCCTGAAACCCTAGCACTTGAAAGCTTTAGCCAAAAGTCAGACCGCCCACTGCAGCCGCCAGCACGATGGCAAGCAGCACTTGGGCATACCTGGAGGCAATCCCAGTACCAGCATTTACATGGTTAGGGTTTTAAGTTTGGGGTGTTTGGGTTTACATTGGGCACGGCAATCTGCAGGTCTCAAAAATTCACGAGTGTTTGTGTGATTTTCTTTAACTATGTCAAGGAACTGTGAAGGATAGTATTGCCAAGTCTTCAGGCCGCTACCGCTACAGTATCCAGATTGACAGCATCCTGATTGTGCTGAACTGCCAGACAGCATGCTGCACTCTCTACGATTACATCAGATCCGTTGCCGCAGGTGCTTTGCCCCAGCGCAAGACAGAAGGCCCGACACCCAAGGCCCTGAATGATCAAACACCACCCTAAACCTTGAAACATATACTCCAAAACCCCTACATGACATTGGCTTCAATCTTCAGGAATACCATTGCTACATGTCGCTTCGGTCTTTAACCAAGGTGCCCTTAACGAAGAACACACGATGTCAACCAAGGTATCTTGTCAAAATACCAGTTGTGATGAGTTATTTTTCCTTTTTCCAAGGCAGCGTGTTGTGGCCCTAAACCCTAGTCCGAAGACGTTTAAGGGTCTCTGGTCAGCCCTGTTGAATGCAGATGCTCCAATATCCCTTAATTAAGGAATATACCTTAAATCATATAAGGGATCCTACTATAATTTAAGGAATATTCCTTTATTAAGGGATATTGGAGTCTCTGGGAATGCAGATGCGAGCCAAGTTGCAGCGGGAAACGGGGCCACTGGCAACGCATGGCAGCAAGTACTGCGCAGCCTAAACCCTAAGCCCTAAACCGAGACGAATCGCGTGCACACGCGGCAACCCAGCGTGGGTCTGGCTTGGGCCACAGCTTCGAGGAGGCGGTGCGGGCTGCACAACGGGTCCCAGAATCTAAGGATTGAGACTTGTAAGGCTTTGGAAGCCATGTTGCGGGGGCCTTAATATTTAGAACAGGGTTTTGGGCTCCTCTGCAGTATTACTATAGTAAGAACCCTAAGGAGTTCTATGGTATTGAATTAATTACAATCTAAGCCAATCTAGACCTTTATGTTAGGGTACCTGGCTCCCAAGCTTTATCACCAAGTGTAAGGCGATCGGGCATCACGGCCCTGGACTCCTACTCCCTACAACCCAGCTACGTAGAAACCACAAGACCCTTTGTTCGCACTTGAAGAGGCTTGGATGAACTGAGCCCTAAACCCAAACCCTATTTAGACCCAATTCCTCGGCTAAACCCTGAATCCTAAACCTTAGGAGCCTTAGGCGATAAAGCTTATGTAAGAAACGACCCCCTGGGTAGAAATCGTATTGCCCCGTGACTCTTTAGTCTTTGATTCGGGAGTGCCATAGACGACAAGGTATGTTTTGAGGGTTTAGAGTCAAGAACTTGACTGCAGGCAAGTTAAGGCCACCATGAACCTTGAACCCACAACTCCGATGCTCCTAAACCCAAGTGCCCAGCTTTACACGCCCGTCAGCAAAAGCAAACTACAAGACCCGTCAAGGATCTAGAATCTAAAGCAATAGAACCCAGGAAAAGATACCATATCATTAGATAGGTTAAGATCAGCACTTTCTGAGGGCTCTTCCCTTGTACAGCCTTTCAGGGAGCTTGGATACTATCCAAAACCGCGTATCACCCTTAGAGAAACGATAATTCAAGGGCTAAGGCAGCCCTTGTAGAAACAGCGGAAGGAACCTAAACCCCAAAACCCGAAGCCCTAAACCATTGTGTATGGGGTACCCTTACAGAACCCTTCTGCAACCCTAAAGACCCCAAACCCCAAAACACTGAAACCCCAAACCCTAAAACCCCCCGTTCCTGGCAGGACCCTTCACGGAATCCAACCCCAGCCCTACTTGAAGGTGCATGGCACTTAGCAACTAGGGTTATGACTAAGGTAACCATACATATAGCTACTTATAACCACAAAGAAAGTTCTTTGTCCCTTACGTCCTAACTCCCACAATCCTCGACGTACCCCTCGAGGACCCTGGGAAAAACCCTTTAAAATCCGTATGGGGGTTTCCGAAAATAGGGGATCCTAATATAGCACTCTGAATAGTAGGATCCTTATTATAAGACCCCAAAACGGTACCCCTTATTTCCGGAAACTCCCTTATAGATCCCTTTAAGGGGCCTGTTAAGTTACGGCGCCCAAACCCATCCAGGGGTCCTTAAGAGCAGCTTTAAGGTTCAGGGTTTGGGGGTTTTAGGGTTTAGGTTTGGGGGTTTTAGGTTTTTAGGGTTTAGGGTTTAAGGGCTAGGGTTTCCCAACCCCAGAGTTCTAGGGTTTAGGGTTTTAGGGTTTACCTTAACCCCAAATAAGCTACCTTTTTAAGGACTAAATTTTTAAGGACTTATATAAAGGAAATCATAGTAAGGAACCCCTAGCAAGGTAGGTTCCTTAGGGTCCAGGTAGGTTTTAGGCTCTCCCACCCTAAACCCCTAAACCCTAAACCCTAAACCGTGGGTCCTTAAGAGCAGCTTTGGCCTGCTCAGACTTGTCCGCGCCTGGGAGAAGGGGCCTACTTGGAGGCCCTTTTGACTTCGTAAGTAGGAGTTCCTTTAAAGGGGTCCTAAAAGGGATCTATAGGGGTTCCTTAAAGGGATCTATAGGGTTTAGGGTTTAGGGATTACTTGGAAGCCCTTTTGACTTAGTAAGTAGGGTTAGTAAGGTGGGCTATGGGGATTATAATGGAGTTTCTAGGGGATACTAAGTAGACTTACTAAGTCAACAAGGCCTCCAAGTAGGGTTCCCAGAATTTCAGGGATAAAAAAGAGTTATATAAGGGGCTCCTTGTAAGGGATAGCAGGGCTCCCTTTAAGGGTTTAGGGTTTTAGGGGCTTACTTGGAGGTTCATGGGACTTAGCAACTAGGGTTATAGGGGGCTCCTTAAAGGGTTCCTTAAAGGGGTCTATAGGATATCTTGGAGGGATCTGTAGGGTTTAGGGTCTACGTAGAGCTTCATGGGACTTAGTAACTAGGGTTATAAATAAGGCAACCATACTTATAGTTACTTATAACCCCAATAAAGGTACTTATAACCATACTTACTAAGTCCCATGATCCTCTAAGTAGGGTTCCCAGAGTTTCAGGGTGTCCTCTGTGGTTTCAGGGGTTCCTTTTACCTACTACCCCAATAGGCCACAGAAACAAAAGGTTAAACTTTCCGACTCCTGCTAAATATTATAAGAACCCAAAAAGTTTAAAGCTTAGGTTAGGTATTGGGGATCTAAGTTTAGTGCTCTACAAGAGTGTTAGGGTTTTAGGTTGATGAGGGTTTGGGGTTAGGGTTTTCAGGGCTTCTCTATGACTTTAGGGGGTCTTCAGCTCGCTTCGTGGCATCATTCAGCTCTGCCTGTGCCTTGAGTGTCGTCGATCTGATCAATCGTGTAAGCAGGCATCTCCGTCTTGTCCGGATGATGGGCGAGGAGAGCTCGCCTCTTGTAGCCTTTCAAGAGCTCGGAGGTAATCGCCGCCACCGGCACGTCGATGGCAAGGATCGTCAGGGCTGAGGAGCGCTGCTGAGACGCCGGCGTCGGATCGCTGGAGGTGATTGGCGGCATGCGAGCGAGAGCAACAGCGAGCGACAGCAAGAGCGAGCGACTACACACCCGGTCCAGGTTTAGGGTAGACCCTACAGTCTGGGACCCCGTGCTACTGAAAAACGACAGGATCCCACTGAAAGGATAGCCCTGAAACGAACCCTCACAACACCCCTTTAAAAATCCTGAACCCTAGAATGAACCCTAAACCCTACTTGAAGGAATTCCGAACCCCTATTTCAGGCATCTACTCTTAAACCCTGAACCTAAATCTTTGTTTAAGGGATCCCTTTTGAAACACCTGAATTAAAGCCCTAACCCCTCAACCCTAGACCCCCTGAAGGGGTCTATTGTTAAACCTTAAGCCCGTAACACCTAAAACTCCAAATCCCGAAACCCTGAACCCTGGGCATCAAAATAGCCCAAAAGCCTTATATGATATGGTCTTTGGGCCCAAAAGCCATAATAGATGAGTCCTTAGATGCCTAGGGTAAACACTACACCCCTAAACCCTAAAGCCTAAACCCCTAAAACCCTAAAGCCTAAACCCCTAAAACCCTAAAGCCCAAACCCCTAAAACCCTAGAGCCCAAACCCCTAAACCCCTAAATCCTACACCCCTAAGCCCCGGAAAAACCCGCTTATTCACGTAGCGGGGAAGCCCCTGGAGCTCCGGTTGGACTTCGGGGCTTAAGGGTTTAGGATTTAGGGTTTAGGGGTTTAGGGGTTAGGGTTTAGGGTTTAGGATTTAGGGTTTAGGGTTTAGGGGTTAGGGTTTAGGATTTAGGGTTTAGGATTCAGGGTGCGCAAGGGTCCCGGAACTTTTTTGGGGCTCCAATAAGAATGTTATGGGATCCTGAACTTACCTTAAAGGGTTCCTTAAAGGGATCTATAAGGTTCTATAAAGGAATTAAAGGATATTCTTACTACCCCAATAATAAGCCACAGAAATGAAAGGTTAAACTTTCCGATTCCTACTAAACTATAAGAGCCTAGAAAGCTTAAAGGTTAGGGATTGGGGACCTAAGTTTTTGGGGCTCCAATAGCCCTTGAGGGGCCTTGGGTTAAAACACCGGACAAGCTGAGCCGCTCGGATCGGGGCGCGAAAAGCGCCGCGGATCCCGCGCAAGTGTGCCGGGTCAGCGAGGCGCCAGATTAGTTTCGGCCATTCGGCGCGCAACATCTCTGGTCTCCTCTCTGGAGTCCCACAAACACGTGTGGGAACTCTCCGATGTCCATCTCCCATAGCGTTTGACAATCGAGGAGTTCCCATAGGCGGCCCACAAAGCGGAGGCCCCTCCGAACCACAAGCTGTGCGTTCCCAAGGTTCCTTTGGTTCCCCCAGCGCTGCCGCCGCTTTCTGAAGCAAAACCGTGATCACCGCTCTGGGCAGCGGCGTGCCTTCTGTGTCCCGGAAGAGGAACATACATGCAATGATCACTTGTCTACACTTGTAGGATATACTTGCAGGGTTTCGGCTTAGTTCTGGACTTCCCAAAAACTCCAAATATCCCTATATTCAAGCATATTCCATACTCACATGGGGATCCTACTATAATTGGGTGGTTGTCAAAATGATGGTCCCTTTTGGGGTCCTTATTATCATACGTCACCTAATATTTAGGGTACCCAAGAAGGGACCCTAATTTTGACAACCACCCAACTTAAGGATTTGAAGGTATATTATATACCCTAAACCCTAAAAACCCTAAACCCCTAAACCCTAAACCCTAAACCCGAAACCCTAAACCCTAAACCCTAAACCCTTAAGGACAATTCGAACTCCACGGGTTCCCCTGGCGATCCGAAATGGCCTCTTTAAGCGGGTCTACAAGGGTTCCTTTAAGGGTTCCTTTTTTAAAGACTTGTAGGGTTACTTTAAAGGGATCTCTAGGACTCTAGGGTTCCTTTAAGGGGGTTCTATAAAAGGGCTCTATAATAAGGCTTCTATATGGGTATTTGTCAAAATTATGGCCCTTTTTGGATACCCTAAAAATTAGGTGCCGTACTACATTAAGGACCCCAAAAGGGACAGCTATTTTGACAACCACCCATATGGGAACAGGGATCCATAGGGTTTTGGGTTTTAGGGTGTGGGGTTTATCCAGGGATCCGAAAACCTACCGCTTTAGGGGTTGTACCCTAGGACTAATTACAGGTTCTTCAAGTAGGGTTCTATAGGGGTTCTGCAAATGTAGGGGTTCT